GTCTTCGGTCCCTATCGACAAATTTTATTAAGTTGTTCATAATTCTTGCTTAGTCTGTCTTCAAGGTCTGCCTAAAGGCCACCATATCCCACACTGCCCAGTCAAGTTGGAGAATATAAGGAACGATAATAGGAGTCTACTTGTGGGCATGGGTAAGAGGTGGCGGAAGCAATGGAATAGTTTCAGGGCACAGATTGAGATTAATCCATTGATTTTCTCTATTCTAACATAAAAACATGAGTCTGTATGTATATAAATATTTAAAAATCATTAAAAGCCGTAACCATGAGTTTCATTTTAATTATTGGTTGGATGATTTGGAATGGAATGACCGAATACAGCCCATACACTTGTTTGTGTTGCCTAAGACCATATTTGATGTCTATTTTGGCTAAAATGATAAAGATTTTAAATTCACGTTCATACTGGAGTTGACACATTTTTCATACTGGAACAGGTTTAGTATTGCTGCACATCTCATTTCTGCAGTGTTTTGTTTCAAGGATATTTTAAATGCTTAAGCTTTGTGCTCCCAAATGGTTTTATTTTGTAAAATACAAATTGAATTGAAGGCAGTAGCAATTTTTCTTTCTCAATATTGGGCACCATATACTGCACATAACATTTTTTATCAAACATGAATAGTAATATTTGTAAATATATAGTACATAATTTAAAATAGTAACTATTATAATTTTATTGAATTTGAAGTACAATTGACGACAACCTATATATATATATATATATATATATATATATATATATATATATATATTTTATTAGCTGATCTAGATATAAAGTGTTTATAATATGGTATGGTATGTTGTACAGAATTTAATCTTGTTATAGATTTAATTTAATCTTGTTCAATATGTTATAGATCTATTTTGATTTGTTCTCTTTGCAATTTTAAATTAGTAATCTGCTATTGATTTGATTTTTAGAATTTATGTTCTTAATAAAATTGATGCTAATATTATATTAATTTAATTATTAGTTAATTAAATTAGTTCTTATATTTCATGATTTTATCATTTTTGAGTTTATTTGTATTTATTTTATTTGTATTGATTTAATTTATGGGAAAGCTTTGTTTTTAATTTAATTTTTATTTATTTTATTAAATTTTACTATTTTATTTCTCCATTTTAATTGTTGAAACCATTCAAATACTTATTTTTTAATAGTTATAACTATCTCACTTGGACGGTATAACAACTCAAAAAAAATTAATTTGAGGTATGATTTGAATGCATTCATAAAACAAAAAAGGACAAAATTACAGAAAGTCCCAGAAGCAAAGTCAGTAATTGAAGGAGGGGGGAGGGTGGGATCATTTGCCGAAAATGATGTTACCATTACTAATTACAAGTTTATATCTCATTCTGTTTTTCAGATTCAATATTTTAAAGAGTTTATTTCAGAAAATCACTTTGTACCATACAGGCCTATATTTCTTTATTGTGATCGATCATTTCTCATTATATTTTTTTATTTCAACAAAGTTGCTTCATTTCATCAGCTTTAGAAATTGCTAGCTAGGTTCTCATATTGTATTCATTTTTTGACTTCCCAACATCAATACCTCTTCAAAATTAAGATAACTTCTTGGGTTTACCATTGCAAAGCTAATGTAATGAAATTAAGCGATGTTTTTAAGTTCCCAAGAGAGATTGAAATTCTCCCTAGTATTTTTGAAAATTATTTATTTTTACTTGTTTGCTTTTCTTTTGCTGCTATGATAACCTGATGAAGCAATATTTTTCTTCACAAATTGGTTGCTATCTTAAGGCAAGGTGTCCAACACCCTTGAATTCCTTGGAAATCAAGATATATGCTTAAATTTTTTGCTTTGAGAAAAAATCGGGAGTTAGGCTGTTACATGTTAATGATTTTTCTTCTAATAAGTAATATTGATGCCTTAGTCATAGATATAAATGACCTTTTGAGGAATGGTTGAAGTTATTTATTAGTTATTGTGATGTACTGCTTTGAACGAGGATTTATTAATTAATGCATGATAATTAGATGCAACAAAATTAACAATATGTGAATTACTAACCACTAAAAATAACTACTTATATTTGATCTAACTGTTATATTAGATCTAATTATTAAATGAAGTTTTGTTGTTTGGTATAAACATGTTTGGTTAGTTGGTTTAAAAATTTATTCCTGCATTAGTTGTTTATTATGAGTAGTACTTCTTACATTGCTTTCTAATAAAGTTGATTGATATTTGAGTAGAATATTGTGATAAAATAGAGTTAGGATGATGTTGTATATTGCTGAGTATATGAATTATATCTAATTAGAAACAATGATGTGAAGTTTGATGATTACATTGCTTTTCAGTATTTTCCAGTGTAAACATTATGCTTTGTTATCTTCCCAACTTTCCAACCGCTTTCGGGGGAGGAAATTATTGTAATTAGTTCAAATTTTCAACGGATCTTTATATTTCAAGTCTTCTACTTAAAGTGCTTTTGATTTTCTTATGTGTATTTCTGAGAAAAAAGTTATGAATAAATAAAAATTATTATAGACATAACCCAAATGGACACATTTTATGTATAAATCTTTTGAAAAGTAATTAAGTGTCCTACAAAAAAGGCCAAACCGGACCAGTACTATCAAAGTTCCAGCTTATAAATTTTATATACTAATTTACTTTTTTTTTTTACTTTACGAATTTGTAGTAGTTTAAATTTGTCTGAAATCAGTAAGAAAGTCTTGTGATTGGATACACAAGATATTTATGAAGTTTAGGTCCTAAAACTTCTAACTTCAGCATAGATTTTTGAAATTAGAAGAATGAATTAATATCGTTTGTAAGTTAAGTATTATTTCTGTCCTATTTTCATTAATATAAACTGTAGACAAGTTTCTTTCATTGTACTGGATTGTCTTAAAACCCAATCATTCTACTGCAACCAGGAATAATAAAAAAATATTTATTGTTTGAGTAATTTTTTATTCCTATGAGTTTCGTAAGATTTTTTGCTTTAACTGTAAAAATGTTGTAGGCATTTGACTCTGTACAAATTTGCCATAATAGAAACTTATGATAACTTAGACCACATGAAGGAAGAGTGACTCATTATTTCCCTCTGGTTTTTCTGTTGCCCTGTCCGTCAAGAATTTACATTGTTTTGTTAATTATTAAATCATTGTTGAATATTTCTTATTCTGGTTTTCAGTTTATTTCATGTTTTTTTATTATACCTACTAATGATGTAACTGAATTGCTTGCTTTATCATACTTATTCATCACTATATTCTAATAAAGCATGAATTAAGATATTCATGGTATGTGTTATTTGGTGTGAAAAAGTAAAATTGATGCACAGAAGCTTTTCATTCTGAATGAGAAATCGTGAATGGAATGGTGCATAACTAATTAATTAATAATCCTTTATTCAATTAATTAACCAGCAACTCCTTGGAGTGGTTTCAAAAACAAAGTTAGGAGATTTTGGGTTATTATGAATTGGATCATTCTTCACCATTATAAATTCAAGAAGTTGTAAAGTAACGGTTTCAAAGTTGGGATTTATAAAATAACGGTAGCAACGTTAGTATATATAAAATAACGCTAACAAAGTTAGGAACTTATGAAATAATGGAATAAACTTAGGAAATTATAAAATGAAGGTTATAAAGTGATGTTGTTAACAATTATAAAATAACAGTAAGAGCTTAGTGAAATACACAAAGCAAAGCAATGATAAATGAAATAACAAAGAAATGAAATGGAATAAGGAATACCAATCGTAAGTGCTAAAAATAAAATAAATAAGATTTCTTAGTTGCTATAAGTTGAAGTTCTAACATGTTAAGAGAAAGTGAGATAAACATAGAATAGTAATGAAAAAAAATAACATGCAAGCTATGAAGAAAATAACAAATGTAAATAGAAAACAATAAGTTATATTGAAATCTATAAAAAAACATCGTACACATAGAAATTAATTGAAATATTAAGTTATATAATTTTAAAGAAAAAGATACAATGAGTAAATATAACAATATCAACAAAATGAAAATGGTGGTATTGATATGGAAAAAAGTAAAGGAATGTCTCTAATGACTGCAATCCCCAACCAACTTCTCTTATATAATTTTTTCCAACGGTCAACATTTATCCACCATTATAATATTGTACTGATTTTTTTTTTAAGTAATGTTAATTTTATAAACCTATTTATAAAATTATAAATATAAAGAGTGACAATAACTTAAAAGAGACTTTTAGTTCCATTTTTCCATTTTATAACTTTTTCTCTATATTTTGGTTCAGTTAAGTTCTCTGATAGTCTTCTATGAAGCTTTATTTATAATAATACAGATTTTTACCATTAAATTAGTAATGGCTGTTTCTTTGCTATTAAATCTGCAATGTTATAGTCAATCAATTATTCTTATTTCATCAATTAAAATAATAATTCAGATCTCCTTTTCATCCTCACGTTTAGATTTTTATTTTCTGCCTTCACCACGCTGATTGCTTCATTTCAGCTTTATGTGCTCGTGGTCTTTTATTCTATGGTTAATATTAACAATTTCAATCTTAATTTGATGACGATTTTATGCAAATATTCCTCTCCTTTAGTTTTTTTTTTTCTTATATATTGGTTTCATCACAAGTATTTATATGCATAATTTGATCACAAATTGGTTAGTTTATTGGGTTTATCATTTTGCTTACTTTTTAATCAAATTTCTTTTATGTGTTTTTTAGACATTTTTTTAGATCCATTTATCAAAAGCCAATAAACTACTTCCAACCTAAGTCTTATCAATATATCTGTCTTGTAGCATTTTCAGAGCTGGGTTCTTATTAACTTTTAGCATGCTGTTAATGATTATTTTTATTTTTCCAAAATGCAACAATGCTCTGAAAATGTTTTTAACATGTTTGCATATCATTATTTGTTTGAAATAACTTTTAAGATCTAACATTGGTGGGATGGTATATGTGTGGTGTGTGGTTTTTCCAGAGAGACGAAAGTCCTCCACCATCTGAGGATGCAAAGCCAAGTCCGAACACAACCCCTGTATGTACTACTAACTTGATTAACATGGCTTGTTCGACGAAACTGTATTTGAGTTTTGATTTTTATATGTCTATTACTGTTGTTTTTACAGATGCGAAAGATATCTCGATTTCTTGTTAGTCCAGTGGTTGAATCTCCTACGAAAGTAAGTTTTATAATTATTCCTCATTATTCTAAAAACTTATGATATGCACGTTTATGGCAAAAAAATTTTTGCATGTAAAACTTGTGGTTCCTAAATAATATCTTCTTTCAGGTATAAAAATGGAACTATTAGAAACTTCTTGCTCTGCTGTTTATGTTCAAATATATAATTATAAAGTTTATTATCCAGTTAAGATATATATATATATAGACAAAAGTAAAAAATGTCAAAATCAAAAATTCTTTTAGTAGGCTTGTTAATTTTAATTTATATGAATTTTATTTTTATTATTTTTATAAAATTTAAGTTATTTTTATAAAATATTACTTTATGCTGACTATAAATTTTTAATTTCATACATAAATTAAATGTTTTATTATGAATATTAATGTATCTGTAATTGTCATTTAAACTTATTGATTAATTTTCAATGCATTATAGGTTGTTGCACCTAAGGAAGTTACAGGAGTTGAAGAAAGCCGTAAAATAAGTGAAGAGAGTTATAAAAGCAATGATTCCCACAACCAAGGTCAGATTTTTTTTTTCAAATTAAGATTATTTAAGATTTGTAACATATCAAAACTTTTCCTCATTAATACTAAAGGTGATATTAGATATGTTTCATTATGTTCATAATATAATCTTACTTTTTCCTTATTCCGTTATATGATTTCTTAAAATTAATCTTTATTCCTCATTTTACATTATTCATCATAAATAATGTTACTTTTTTTGTCCGTTACTATTTTTTTTTCTTCTAATCATTCATAGATAATTTTTCTTTACAGAAGTGGATACCCTTGAAAACGTAGAAAGCAGCCAGGAAATTAATCCTCATACAAAGTTGTCACATCATAATTCACTCGAGAATACTGCTAGGTAAGTATACAATAATAATAATAAAGCCTTTTATTATATCCATAGCACCATAAATTAAGAAATTTAAATCAAATTCAATTATTTTATATATTTACAATAATAATGAGTAGATGAAACAAATCCATTAAAGAAATCCTTCCGCGAGCTTGAAGAATGCAATATATAATCGCATATTTGGATAATTGAAAATTTCATTGATTCAAAATAAGTAAAGACAGTTTTATCATTTTGTCATGATCAAAAAACAGTTTACAACTGTTAAAGTTACTGATGGTCTTTTAATTCTAAAATTCAAACTCTGATTTTACTTTCGAATCCCTTGATTTTTTTTAAAACTAAGTTGTCAATCATTTATTTTTTCTATTTATTTACGACACCCTACTGCACCTTTCAGCTACACAGGTTGAGCAGTGGTGGTATATCACAGAAAATGTTTATGCCATCTCTGCTAGTAAACATAAGATTAAACATTTTCCACTGTAATTATTTCTTAATCATGGCTATCAACTGCAATACTCTCTGTATCTGCAATATACTATTAGACACATTGCCTGTGTTTTCTGGTGGCCATCTAGAATAGGCCGTTTCCTTGCCAAATTGTAGTGGACTGGACTAATATAGTTTTCCGCTATTCCACAAAGACCTTGGGATATAGGTAATTATCTATTAGTAATAGCTCCAGAAACTCTATTTCGGTTAGAACATAGAACCTATTTCTCTTTTAGCTTGCTCTTAATGCCTCATAGACAATGCAGGCAGTGGTAACATCCTCCGCAGTGGGTCACCATCCAGTGCATATCACAACTGAAGTATGAGGGATCGATGCCATAACGCTATGTCTGGAGCTTGACAAGGAAATGTTTTGGAATTCCTCTATCTATTGCCATACATATTTTCTTAGTACACTTCAAACATCAATTATTACTTTACCTCTTCCAGTCTTAAATGTTAAATATTTGATTATTTATCCATAAGTTACTGGTACTGGTACTGATGGAGGCAACTGGTCTGGCAAGTGGGCCATATGGTCCTTTTTACAAACCCTTGATGTTGCCTCTGCGTACTTACCAAAGTGGGAGCATCAAGATTCATTTCACGGGGTCCCCTCGAAATGAAAATTAACTGACCCACGTGAGAATCGAATCCACAATGTTCAGAAACGGGTAGTCTGGGAGCCTTGCTCCAGCGTGCTCCGCCATTTTGTTCTCTATCCACAACTTAGTTTTTCACCTATATTTCTAGTCCAATAGTTTTTGTTCTTAAGTAACATTTTGTCCCACAGTAAAATTATTTGTATTTCAACTATTCTTTAGTTTTACTGTTTATTGATAATTTATTCCTTAATTCGTAGTTTACTCCATTAATTAATGATTTCATATAAACCCAGTGGTATAATAAGTCTTAATTACTGATATTTTTTTTTTTAGCGGAGTTTCTTCAAGTATAGTGGATCTTCATCAGAAACTTTCCCAACTTACTTCTCAGAGTGAAATATCCTTAGGAGGTACTCCCCCTTCTCATCCTCCAACACCTCATCTTCAAAGTTCTTATGATGCATACATGCACACATTGCAACAGAAACTTCATTCAATATCTGCTGGTTCTCCTTCATACCCTGTAATTATGACTTCCATTTCTGTTATTTACTTAACTATAGAATTTTATAATTTTTAATATTTAATAATTTAATTATATAAATGGAAACATAAACTCTTTTCAATAATTCATTTTCTCTGTATACAAATGTTTTATAAGATTTTCAGTATACTTCGTATAAGTATATTTACCATACAAATTTTAAATTTTTGTCATAAAAAACGATCTTTTAGCTATAGTCAAAATTTTATAAAAAAATAGATATGATGTTAATGCTTATTTTTTTATTTATTTATATGATATTTATAACTGTATACAAAAAATACATCTGGTAAATTTGCACATGAATATAATGACATGAAACACATGTTGAGAAACTACCCAGTGGTAGCACTCTAATGATATGACTACATTAGGAGATCACGGGCCCATCTTCTTTTCAGACGCCTTGGAGGGTTATCAGGAATTGAATAGGAAGCAAGGTTAGAAACAAGAGGGTTGGGATGGTTATGAAGTTTATTGTGGAAGGACAAATATCTGGATTGGGCCAAATCTGATACATAAGGAACATTAAGGTCATTATGGATAATTTTATTTGTAACAAAGTAAGGAGCATTGAGGATTTTACGAAGGATTTTGGATTGTAAGGATTGGATGCGAGAGGAATTTGAAGGTTTGGTGGAGTCCCATAACTCAATTCCGTAAGTCCAAATAGGCCTTATTATAGTCATATAAATGAGTCTTTTATAATTAATTGGAAGGTTAGAGCGTTTGTCTAGTAAGTGCTGAAGTAGTCGGAAACATCGAGCTGTTTCTTGTCGTTTCAGTGTGGTATGAGGATTCCAAGTTAGACGTTTGTCCAGATGGAGTCCTAGGTAACGGATTTGTTCAACAGGAATAAGTGAGGTGTTGTTAAAGGATACTGAAGGACAGGAAGTCATTGATTTACGATGAAGGGTGAAGGTAATTTGATAAAATTTATTGGCATTTATTTTAATTCTCCAGTTCTGACACCATTCTTCAAGGTTTATGATGTGGGATTGAAGGGTTTGGGATGCAATAGATAGGTCATTATTAACTGAAAGGATACATATGTCATCAGCATATGTGGTGATGACTGGGTTGGGATGTCAGCTGTATAAACTGTGTAAAGGATAGGACCTATGATACTACCTTGAGGAACACCTGCAGACTGGGAAAAGCGGGATGTATAGACATTGTTGTGATTTACTTTAAAGTATCTATCAGTAAGGTAGGAACGGATAATGAGGAAGTATGTAGATGGTAGGAATTTTCGGAGTTTGTACATCAGTCCCGGGTGCCAAACTCTATCAAACGCCTGTTCAACGTCGAGAAAGACTCCCGTACAGTACATACCGTGCTCCAATGCAGAGGATACTACGTCTACCACACGATGGCATTGCTGTATAGTGGAATGGGAGGAGCGGAATCCAAATTGGTGATCTGGGATTATGTGATTAGAATTCAGAATGGGGTACAGGCATTTTAAGATTAGTTTTTCCAGAATTTTTCCCATGATGGGTAACAGAGAGATGGGACGGTAAGAGTATGGATATTCTGGTGGCTTTTTGGGTTTGTGGATCATTTTGACAATAGATATTTTCCAAGGATCAGGGAAATATGTGGATCGGAGTACAGCATTATATATGAAAGTAAGGAATAGAATGGCCTTTCGAGGAAGAAGTTTCAAGATCTGGGATGTTATTAGGTCATGTCCAGGAACTTTGCGGGAGGGTTAATGCTTATGATTTAAAAATATAACCAAATATACTAGATTAATGATTGGCATCAAATGTATGATTTCGGGGACTATAGGTTCGATTTGATAGATAAACTGTTCAGAGTTATGATGTGTCATTGGAAGATGTGCTTAAAAAAGAAAGAAAAGGAGGAAATTTAAGTTAGCCACATATTCTTGTTACAAAAAAAAAAATATATTTAGTAAATTATATAAATAAACTGCATGATAGGATATGAGGTATGAGGAAGCGATTAAGAAAAGGCTGTGATGAAATGGAAATTTAGCTCAAATAAAAAAGAGAGAAGCCTTAATGAATTGTCGGCAGAAAGAATGTTTAATTTGACTTATGAAAACTGAGGGAAGCTATCCTCTTCTATTTATTTGTTCTGGTATTGAATGATCTTGATCAACTTGTTCGCCTATAGATAGAAACAGTGTATTTAACAAATCGTGAATTTCTCCCACAGATGCAATTGTATTAAACGTTTAATTATTTATAGCTACAAATCTTTTTAGTAGATCTTATCTGTGGGAGCAGTCAATTATAAATTTCTGTTCTATGAAAATCCATGTATGATTCTGTTATTTGTAGGAAAGTTTACTACCATCTTGGTCATGTGGTGGGCTCAACTTCTGATTGCATGATCTTATCTCATTCCATTGTTGTTTTTTAGATTTAGATTGTTTATGTTCATTAGAATAACATAATTTATATTATTATAAATTTTTAGAGTGGTGCTACCTCACAGAACACTCAAGGTTCAACTCAGTCTCAGCCAGTACCAGTTGGAACTGATAATCAAGTGGATGCCCCTATTCCAGGTTAATATTAACTACTTTATTATTTATTTACAAAAAACAACTACAGAGTTATTTAAATGATAATAAAGGCCAGTAAAAGTAGACCCGGTGGGGACAATCGGTGGAAAAAATGTTGGGAACAGGAAATAGTTCTGATTGCTTCATTTGACATCAAAAAGGGTTATACTAGTTTTGCAGGATCCCTTAAAAAAATAAAATTTTAGAACTTTTCAGTTTTTTCTCTTAAACTCCAAACAGAAATAGACAAAGTATCATGGCTGCAAGTAATATGAACTTTACTATTAGCATAATGTTATTCACAAATATCAGTTAAATTAACTCAGGTATTACAGTGAAAACTTATAAACATTGAATATATGCGAAGGTGAACAATTGTTTCGTTTATTAAAGTTGACTGAGATGAGTGACTATAATTATACGACTGATAATTAAAGTGTAATATGCTGGAGGGAACAGCTACGTGGTGAGCAGCTCTGTCCTGCTGCTACTAGCCTCTGACTATCAGCACATAAAACTCTCCGTTATCAGATTGTTCGTAGCTCAGTGGTCTTGGTACTGCATATTTGTTATTCGATTCCTAGCAGTTACGAGTTCGAATCCAAGGACATTTTTTTTCTTTTCTTTTTTTTATTTAAAACCGATAATGTTTATTTGTTATTAGATAATGTTTCTCTTATATTTTGCAGATGTATATAATTGTAAATATTTCAGGAGTTGATTTTATTTTAAATTCTGTATACTTTTTTTTACTTTCACCTATATATGAAATATATACTAAGAATAAGTATTGCGATCATGAAAATTTTCGAATCTCAGCGGAAATACATGTTTTGAGGTCTCCTGAGTCCAAATAACCAACTCCCGCAAAATGGTCTATGGACGTGTATGTATGTGAATAGTCTAGCTTACAAACGAATGTCATATGAAACAGATATTACATATTTAAGATAGGTATATGCCTTAGATGTTACAGCAACTTTTTCCTTAAAATCGGCCGGTTAGCCAATAATTCAAATTAATTCCGGTTGGAAGTGTCACTTAATATCAACGGTGAAACACATTTTTACAGTTTTCTCAAAAACGGCTCTAACGATTTTCATTGAACTTGGTGAATCATTATATAATTAAGTGACCTTTAATATCATTTAGGTCTTATCCCCAATGCTTGTATACGTCTTCCTCTGTAGTACCTTTAATATGGTTTATTTAAAAAGAAATTAACTCTCTTTTATTGATAGTAACTATAAAAAATGGCTAAATTAAAACTTTGAAAGTATATAATAATTGGAAACTGGAGAAAAAAATAAAAATGCTTATCCACGTTGAAAATAGATCTCCGGAAATAACAGTCAGAATGTATATGTATAATATATCGTTGGAAAGCAGAAAATTTCAGAAAAAAATAATATTAAATAAATAAGGTTGTAGAAGGTAACGCAGAATGGCGAAAAAAAATATAAATAATAATTTTTCTCTTCAAATTCGTTTATAATTTTATTTCATTTTTTGCTTCCTCACCACTGAAGGTAGGGAAGCACTGTTCGTGCGAGTTGTAAAAAAATTTTGTTCTCAGAATCGAAAATTTCCACACGCGTTTTACGTTTCAGACATCAAGGATCAAATTTGGTTCGGTATCTGTCTGTCTGTAGTCAAATCAATGTGACGGGAATATCACCTAGTATCGTTCATCTGATTTTCTTGAAATTTTTAAAGATTATGCAGATTGGTGCTGTAGATGGTCCCATATCAATTTTATCAAATTCCATCCAGCACTTCCGCTTACGCGTGCGCAAACATATTTTTTTAGATATGCCAATATTTCAGAAAGGGCTCGTTCGATTTGGCTCAAAGTTGGATAAGCGTTAGATATTGTTGAAAAAATAATGTAGTGTCAATTTTATTAAATTCTGTCCACTACTTTCTCTTATATATGCGCTACTATACTACGCACGTTGCTATAGACTGTAACGCCTAAGTGAATTACCGATTTCAATGAAACTTCGCTAAAGTCATTTTCTCGACGCCCTTTAAATTTATCTATATAACATACTTCAACAAAAAGAAGCTGGAAAAAACATTACGAGGGATGGTAAAATTGAATTCCGAATAACTCTAAAAGTATACACTTTTTTTGTCAATATTGTATGGTTTTTTAAAAGTTTACGGAATCTTCAAAAAAAAAAAAAAAAAAATTCGTTAAAATCGGACAATTAAGAGCAAAGATATGGTCTCTAGTTTTTTTTTTAGATGTTCTACTGCAAAGGTTATATATATATATATCTTTGGACAAGTAAACTTGGACAACTTTTGGCATGACCTAGAAAACTGACTGGATTTAAATATTTCAGTTGAAAATTAAAATTCAGATTGATTCCGCTATTCATTCATTGTTATTCAACTCCTGCTCCTGTTTTAATTGAGCCTTGATGTTGAAGTTGAAAAACAACGTTTTGAGGACAGATGATATCAGAATTCTTTAAGCTGTAGATTCCTTTAGTACAGAATATAGAACTCAAGAGTTTTAACCTAACATAGGCTTTACTTTTTTTATCTGGATACTTTCTACTCTTTCAAACATTTTCTTACGTTTTACTTGTGATTTGTTCTAAATGCATGGAATGTTATATCATATTATAGTTTTACCTGTTTTTAAAGTTAACATTATTATGTGATCAATAAATATTATATGAAGGTTTATTTTTCAGATTGTGATGTCCATCCTTCTGAAGCTGAACAAATTGAATTGAAACCAGCTGTAACTTGTGTAATTACTTTTTTTATTTCTATTATAAATATATGTAGACTATAATGGATTCAAAAATTTCACAAAGTTAGTGATGATAGATTAAAACAAATTTTATAAATGTTCCATATACAGAATAGATTAGAACATAAATTATTTATGTGAAACTGACAAAATATATAAAACATTGGAAAGAAAATCCATTTATCTGATTATATTAGTAAATACTAGTAGTGGGAGTGGTAATAAGTCTTAATAAAAAGTAAAAAAAAAATCAATGATTAATTTTAATTAAGAAATAAAAATGAAAATTGAATTATCGACAAATTATTGTTTATTACTCTCCAGTATCTTATGAATTCAAGGTCAACTGATTGGGTTTTAATCCTTAGACTTTCTGAGGAAATGTTTTTTTATTATTTTGACTAATTCCTTAAACTTAACTCTCTTAACTATTAAAATAAATTTTAAAAAATTTGGTGTGGTGTATACATTGCATAACTTTTACTTATCATCCTACTTTTGCGTAGAGATAGATAGGTATTTTCACATAAAGGGAAGTGAAAATAGAAATTATAGACTGCATAATATATTCATTTAAAACAATTAATTATCATATGTTTTTCCACACCTCAATGATTTTCATTCCTGATTCATGATTCCTTATGCTTTTCAACAATAAGCATTTTCTTCTACAGTTGGACATGTTAATTATAAGGTGCTCTGTTTTTTATTTTGTCCTGCAAGAATGCCTCAATAATAGTGTTGTAAAACAGCTCGGTGAGACGGCTATATGGCTTGAGCCGAAAAGGCTTCACCTTTCCCGACTTGGCCAAGACTCGAGTCCTAAGAGCTCAGCAGTAGAAGGCTCGAGTCGCTGCTCGAACCTTACTTGTTTTTACCATATGTTTATTAATGGACTTTTAAAATTGTTTTACAATTTTTATAATAGAGTTAACTGTTCTACATGATGTTTGTTAGTAATATTACATCTTTGGCGGTTCCTTCAATTGCACTACCCTACATAAAATTTTTTTGTGGCGTGCATCTTCGATGAAAACTGTTTCTCTTGACTAATTTTGGTGAGAGCAACTTGAATTTTCTGTCAGAATCCTTATATTAGCCTGATCAAAGAGGACTACTATATACGGAGTGATACTTGAAGCTACAGATCAGGCTCCAAGCAGTGCTAAGCTACAAGAGAATACTGGAACAACTGATAAAACTTAAAATTACATTGCCCTACAAAATTTTTTTTTGCTTATATCTTCAATGAAAACTATTTCTCTTAACTAATTTTGATGTGAGAAACTCAAATTTTCTGTCAGAATATTTGTATTACCTACCGTTCTGCAGATACTAATACCCAGTATCTAATACAAAAAATGAAGTTATTGGAAGTTACACAATCATTTTTTAGGCTTTAAAAGTGCTTTATTATTTTTGGAATGCTTTTACAACCAACAAAACATTAAATTACAACTTCTCTCGTCAAGATCAATGCTGTTGTGCAGTTTATTTAGAATGTTTCTTCTTTGCTTGACGATTGTACAGATCTGGCAGATTGTTCTGGCAAATCCCTCACAACGTTCCAACAGTAGTCTCGGAGCATTGAAGTATCCAACCGACTTTGATATCTTTGTTCCATCGAGGATATATCTTGGTGAAATCGCTCTCCATGTTCGTCATTTACAGATCCATAATTTTCAGGAAAGAAGTCCAAACGAAAACGAATCTTGAGTGACATGTTACAACCGAGATCTCTGTACTTCTCAAGGAGGGTTTAAACTAAGACAGCATAATGTCCTCCCTTTTGTTACTCAAGAAACCATTAACTAAAGCTGTAAATGCTTCCCAAACTGCTCTTTCTTTACCCTAAAGAATATTAAAAAAATCTCTGTCATTAAGAAGCTCAGGGATTTGTGGACCAGCAAACACACCCTCTTTAACCTTAGCTTCACTTAAGCGAAGAAATTTTCCTCTTAAGTACTTGAATGCCTCTCCTGATTGATCCATTCCTTTGACATTTTTCATGAACTCTAAAGTTATATGCAGTGGAGGCAATATGATTTTTTCAGGTCCCACAAGAGGCTTGTAGAGAATATTTTTTTGTCTTGGGGTCAGGACTTCTCTTTGAGGCCATTCCTTCCTGATGTCAGATGCTCTGTCCTGACTGTCCACTCACATAAGAAACAACAGTACTTAGTATATCCCTGTCGCATATCTAGAAGAATTGCCACCACTTTCAGGTCCCCACAGATTTGCCATTGGTAGTTTTGGTATTTGATGGATTTTAGAAGGGTTTCCATGTTTTGGTAAGTTTCCTTCATGTGGACTGCATGGTCAATAGGGATAGAGGGAAGTAAATTGCCATTTTGCAACAGAACTGCCTTGAGGGATAGCTTTGATGAATCTATAAACAGCCTCCATTCAGAAGGGTTATGATTGAGATTTAATGCTGTCATCAGACCTGGGACATCACAACAGGCAACAAGGTTCTCATACTTTTTGAAAAAGGGGATCAAGTCTTTCTGACGATTTCTGTACATTGTAATCTTTACACCAGGTTGTAAGAAGTTCTATTGCTTCAATCTTAAACCTAAAGTTTCTGCTTTCTCTTTGGACAGATCCAGGTCCTGAATCAAGTCACTGAGTTCAGCTCGAGTAAGCACGTGGGGTTTTTCGTTCTTGTTTAAAAGAATCATCTGATAGGGTTCCTCCTACAGGATTTTCCTCTTCGTTATCCTCATTATCATTCAAGTCATAGTGTTCTTGGAACAAGCAATTTGTCCCCGTGTGGTATTGACCGTAAAGCAGAAGAAATTTCAGGGCACTTTACTTCAGATTTCTTTTTTCGAGAAATTCCATGATTAAGAGGAGGGTTCATGCAAAAGTAGCAGTTGTCAGTATGATTAGTAGGCTCGCTCCACTCCATCGGAACAGCAAAACACATTGAATGACCTTTCTTGTTCAACCATTCTCTTAAGGTTACGCTACATGTCATGCAGCAGATGTGCGGGGCCCATGGTTTGCCTTGCTCACCACCCTTCACCCCAAATTACTTATGCTATCTTAATCATCTAGGTAATAGGATGTTTTTGACTTGCAAAGGTTACTTCCCCACAAATCTAACAAAAGTTGTAAGAAACATTCCTTTCTGGGCATTGTAGCTTTACCAAAACTACTGGGTTATCACAACAAAATCTTTAAAAGAATGCCTGAAGCAAGAAGAATTACGTCAAGAGTAACTTGAAATGTAAACACTGCATACAACTGTTAGCAAAATGGTTCTGTGATACATAGCTAGTTGTTTCCTACAATTCACAGACAGAATTCAATCCTACTAACCCAGGAGCTGGAAATTTCTCCATATTAAGCAAAAAGTAACTATATCTTTGAAACTAGAGCTAACTGATGATTTTAATGTGGAAATTTGAATTAATCACACCAAAAACATGAAATGAGGTTTTCAAGTGAGATACAATATCATTGTAGAGCAGTGTTATAATGTTAACTGAAACAGTCTATTGTTTAGATTTATCGTTCTTGAATAAAGGCACTTAATTACTATTTTGATGGCGATGATTTTTTAAAAATGTTTTGTGAATTTCGATCTTATTGATTGATAAAAAATAGTAAAATAATACAAACCCTTTTATATATCATAGTTACAAGGGCGTAAATTTCTTATTTTACAAGAAGTAAAAAATTAACAAAATGCTTAGTGATTTAAATTTATGTAATTTCTCTTAATGACTGCAGTAAGTCGACAATATTTTTTATTATAAGAATTAGATCAAAAGTCACAAAAATCTTGCCCATCTTAACCTCCTTGCCTTCATGTCATGCGATATTAACTGACCCGTTTCTTTCAACAGTTCTTTATTGTTCCTTCTCCTCCATGTGTCAAGGTTCTGGTCCCATATAGGTCCTGTTATCCTACGTAGAACTTTTCTTTCGAATCTCTCAATTCTGGCTTCTAGTGAGCCGCTTAGAGCCCAGGTTTCACAACCGTACAGCAGAACTGGCTTAATCATGGGGGTGTACATCCTTATTTTGAGATTTCTGGATTTCAGTACCTTTGAAAGAGAGAAGAAAGATCTGTTCACACTTGTTATTCGCTGGTCTATCTCTGTTAGTTGATCATTTATTGAGGTTATTGTGGAGCTGAGGTATTTGAATCTGTCTACTTTCAGGAATGACTCAAGTCCACTCCGATCATGTTATTAGGGTCTTTCCACTTGTTCCCAATTCGGTGGATTCGCTTCAGCCTCTGACAGAGTTTGATTCTAATCAGAGTATGGTCCGAATCACAGTCTGCTCCACGATAACTCCTTATATCTTGTATGGAGCTTTGATGCCTCTTGTCTATCAGCACATGGTCGATTTGGCTTTTTGCTCCTTTAGGACTTACCCAGGTGTACTTATGTATGTCTTTGTGCAGGAACATCGTACTGCTTACTACTAGACTTTTAGCTCCTGCCAGACTAATGCATCTCGCTCCATTGTCATTGCTAGTTTCGTGGAAACTTTGACCTCCGATGATGGGCTTAAATTGGGTTTCTCGGCCTATCTTGGCATTGAAGTCTCCCATGACTAATTTTATGTCATTTTTTGGAGTCTGGTCCACAAATTTTCTAACTGATCATAGAAATCATCCTTCACCTCATCCTCTTTTTCTTCGGTTGGTGCATACACGTTAATAATCGTGATATTAAACCAACGACCTCTTACGCGTAGCACGCTTATCCTTTCATTAACTGGGGTGAAGTTTATTACTGACTTACTTGCAGCCGGACTAACTATAAATCCAGGGCTAGCTGTCTATAGTGGTTTCCCCACCATCTGGCCATCTTACCTCTTAAATGGCTGTTAATGGTATGTTGTATCTTTTTACTTCATTAACTACCGTTTGGGCGCCTCCTGGTCTGTATAAGCTCCGAACATTCCATGATCTGATATGGAGTCCGTTATACAAAGCCGGAGTCGTTACCATGTTAGGACAGTCAGATTTTCCGAGGCTGGTATTTGGTTTCATTATATGATGTTTTTGACGGGATAGGGTTATTAGCCCTATGCCCAACCCCCAACCTGTAGGACTAGGAGCTATGTCTACCACAGGGTCACTCACCTCCCTGCAGCGTGAGTTGCCTCCAGTAGGCTGACGGGTCTCATATACCCGAGGGGAGGGAAGAATCTCGGACAGCGTGTCTTTTCATGGTGGGCGGTCACCCTAATCGGGTGGTCACCCATCCAAGTACTGACCACGCTCGACGTTGCTTAACTTTGATTACCTATTGCAAGCACCTTAGCCCGTACGGCTACCCCGTCCCCATTCTCCTGAGTATATAAGGGTATAATTTTTGTCCAGTATGGTCTCTCCACTACTTTTTCTTTTAATTTCACTTATACCTAGGATATCTACTTTATATTTTTCCATTTCGCTACTATTTCTATCTCTACATGTCCAAATCTGAGACTGGAAATGTTTCTCTGAATTGAATTTACCTCCTTATGGGTGATTGGCCCAGTATTCCGAGTTAGATCCTTCCCATCAGCCCAGGATCACGGTCCTGGTAGAAAGGCGTTAGGAATACACCTTGTGAGGATTACTCCTTTCCCCATTACTCCACAGGAATTGCTTACCAAAACTTTGGACTGGGCTGCTCGGCTTTTGTAGGGCCTATCTCAGGCAGGTGAGAGTAGAGTTTGAGAGGAGAGGCTAAGTAGCCTCTTCTCGCTGTGTAAGATATATCATTACTCCTCCTTAGGGTCTATTTTTTTTTCTCTTGTATTTAATTATCAAATTCTTCCATAGTTCATATTTAACCATTTTTTTTGTTTAAATGTGAAATGGTTTCTTTGAAAGAAGAAATTTTGGGAATTCGATATTTAAGCTTTGATGTAATATTTCAATGAGGATATTACCTGACTGATATTAAAGATCACTTAATTTTACATTGATGTAATGAGTTAATCAAAATTGTTAAAGCCATTTTTGATGAAAGCCAAAAATTTGTAAAACCAATGAAATAAAATGCCTTTTTCGGTTAATCAATTTTAGAGAAAAAGTTGCTGTAATATCTCTGACCTTAGATATGTAATTTCAGTTTCATGTGACTTTTGTTTTTGGCTGTTCATGCAAACACATACCATTTTGCAAAACTTGGTTATTTGGTGTCTAGGGACCTCAAAACCTGTATTTCCGTTAAAAACTCAAATCCAAAATTTTTTGCGATAGCAGTATTTTCTCTTACTATGTGTTTTATTTATATGTTAGTAGAAATAAAAAGATTTAGTTTCTGTTACATATATCCTACTGCTGTGTGTTTTTTCAGTATATGTATTTATTTTATTTTTATTTTTTAATTAGTCTCACACCAGCTTCAGTTACTCTGAATCTGGTATCAGCTCTCCTGTTCTGAAAGAAGAGAGAATGAAGAGGCATACATCCCATAATTTACATAATTTAGAACAGGTAACATTTTAACTGTATAAAATTACTGTATATAGAATATTGTAGAAAAAAGTCCCTTAAGTATTGGGTGGATTCATAAGTTATTCGGTTTTTGTTAGTAGTGTGAATTATTTTCAAATATCTTCAGTACTCTTTGCCTTATCTGACAATAATGATACTTATTGGAAAGGTTAAAGTCTGCTCTTCGAAACTGGTGTGTTTGGTTTCATTGGCATTAGTTTTGTTTTTGCCTCAGCATAGTGAATATGTCAAATGATGAAGTGCATTTTCAGCATTTTTGCTTTATTATTTAAAAAAAGGCATGTGAGATTCGGAGATCCACCGAAAGATATGTAGAGTATACGGGGAAGATGCCTTAATAGAACTTACTGCTCAAAAATGGTTTGCCAGATTTCGTTCCAGAGATATGAGTCTCGAAGATGCACCCTGTAACGGTCGGCCCACTGAAGTTGATTCGCGTGATATCATCGAACATTGGCTCTAATTGAACAATACCGATTGCTACATGTACGAGAGATTACTGAGAGACTGAAAATAGGTTTTGGAACCGTTCAAAGGCATTTAATACTGCTTGACTATGTGTCTCGCCTGGATGTTTGGGGTCACACAGACTGACTGAGGTAAATTTGGCCAACGGAATATCAATCTCCAACTCTCTTCTGAACTAGGGTGAAACGGATCCATTCTCGATTGAATACTGACCGGTGGCGAAAAGTGGATCATCTACGAAAATGTAGTGAGCAGGAGATCGTGGACAACCGTTGACGGCCGCCTAATGCCACCCTGAAGGATGGAAAAGATTTCGCTCTCCATGTGGTGGGGTTATTGCAGCATTCTGTTTTACCAGTTGCTTCCACGAAGAAAAAGGATTGATTTGAAGATATACTGTACGCAGCTAACGAAATTGGACCAAGCATTGCTAGAGAAATGTCCAGAACTTGTTAATCGCAAAGGTTCCACCATGACAACGCCACACCAGTCTCTGCAAAAATCATACAGTATAAGTTAGTTCAACTTAGCTGGAATGTTTTACTACACCCACCATATTTACCTGACCTTGCACCATCCGTCTACCACTTATTTCTATCCCTCCAAAAATTCCTCAACAGGAAATCGTTCGCTGATGAGATAGATATGAAAACATATCTCGATCAGTTTTTCACTTCTAAGCCAGATGTTTTTCGAGAGCGGAAAATGAAATTATCAGAAAGATGGCAAGAGATCATTAGTAAAAATGGTAAATACATTATAGAATAAAATTTATTCTTTGTATGAAAAAAAAAAATTTATTTTGCCCTTCAAAAACTCAATGAACTTATGGATCCACACAATATTGTTTTTTGTTAAATAAACTAATTACTAAGAAAACAATTTTAATAGCTCAAAGTTATGGAAAATTGGCTCCTCTGGACAAATACAAAATACGACATGGTGTTATTTACCTTTGGGGTACAGATTTATTATAATAGTAAATAATTAAACTGAATATAATATTATAATACTTAAAAATGATTATTTATGTTACTTATTCCTCCCCTTTCGATGTTTTTCTTCTTTTCTCATCTGGATGTTAACAGTCTTCAGATGCCATAAGGTGAGAAGAGCCAGAACAGCATTGTATACCAAAGTGCAATTTGTATTTGAACTAACCTACTGCCTTTGGGAACAGTAAATGACTTATTCATTATCACTATTTTAATGGATAAATTAGGAACAAAGGGTTCATGGACATATTTGGTTGATCATTCTATCCAGACTAGCCTCACTGAATTTACAAAATCATTTAATGAGTTTACAAAATTAGTAGTCACTTTGGAAAATAAGATTAAATCGTGACAAGTCACAACATATAACATTTACACTTCGATGAGAAATGTGCCCACCAGTTTATATAGGAGAGAACCAAATTCCTCAGACAAACACAGTAGGTTACCCGGGACTAATATTCGACAGAAGGATGACCTGGGGCCCACACATCAAAATGAAACGACAGACCTAAAACAAGCTACTGAAAATACTGTACTCACTTTTTTCCAAATCAAAATTGAAAATCAGACAAAAACTCGATACATACACTTACCTACTCAAACCCATATGGACATACGCCTCACAAATTTATGGTTCTGCAAAAAAGACACACTTACAAAAACTACAGACATTTCAATCCAAAATTTTACGACTTATAACAGGAGCTCCTTGGTACGTAAACAACAAAACTTTACATACGACTTACGACAACCAACTATCAACCAACACATACGCGATCTCTACTCCAGATTTCATCTTAAACTACACGGACATGACAACGGACTTATTAGCGACCTGGCCACAGCTGACATGCCTATCAGGAGACGACTAAAGAGGAGCTGGATGATAGATCTCCTTTCTTGGATTAAGGAAGTAAATCAAGACCAGGAAGAAGTGCTGCTGGGTACTATTTTTTTCCTCATGCCTAAAATGTCAATTTTTCGTATTAGTTACAACACATCTGCTTATTGTCAAGCTCATGACAGGTGTGGATGAAAATTTAAGACAAAAAAAAAAAAAAAAAAAAAAAAAAGGATTTATTGATTAATAAATTTAATTTATTCATTTTATTTCTAACTAGTATGTAAATACCTTTCAAAATATTTTATAAATTAATCGAACATCTTTTTATTTTCTACTCCTATTTAAATATCATTAAAAATAAGCTTTTGAAGTATTTCATTTGTTTACTGGATATCTAATATATTCTGAAGTTGTGGTTGACAATAAACTTGTTTGATCATAAAACCCTGGTGACCAATATAGCTGTCAACAAGTTAAGGAATATTCCTTTTTCTTTTCCCCTCATCTAATAATGTATACTATGTTCAACTTATGTTCATGATTTTTTTATTATTATTTATTATCAATGAATTAATGTGCTTATTTATTTTATTTGAATTATCTACTCCTATTACACTTATATGAAATTATTTTATTTTTTTAAAGGTTTTATATGGAAATTTAATATCAAAACAAATTCTGAAGTAGTTGACAATAAATGGGTTGGCCATCAGACGCTGATGACCAATATAGTTGTGAACAAGTTAAGGCACATTCCTCTATCTTTTCTGCCTATATTACAATGTACACTAATAACTCTCTCTTTCCCCCAGGCTTAGATAATCCTTGAACTCTTGAAAACAAATCTTAAAAAAAAAAAAAAAAAAAACAGTTATTGATTCATCCACATTTAAAAAAATTTAGTTTGCAAAACTTCCTTGAAATTTGTAAACGTGCAATAAATAATTTTAGGGTTTCCTCTCTCCTTATTGATAAGTATCTTATCACTGCTTTTAAACGAAATATTTTTCAGGAATTGGTAAAGTGCATGTTAAATAGTAAAAGTCACAGCAGTCTTCCATCTTCTACTACATCTTTAGCTCATATAACTCAACAGCTTAGCGTAAGATATTAATTTTGATTCTTAATAGAGTAAATGACCGTTTGTTCATGTAAGAAATGTGATATTTACTTATTAGAATGGATTAATTTTTACTAATGGTGTGAATAACTTTGTTAGGATACAAATGAGGGTGATGGAGATACTTCTTCCTCTCCAGTTAGAAAAGTATCTAGGTTTCAAGTTAGTTCAGTTCCCGAGATCATTCCAACTCCAGGTAGTGTCAAAATTAATAAGTTGCGGCTTGAAACTTGTGTGGTTGTGCTTTGAAATAATGTAAAGGATCAATTGATTTATTATCTATGATTATGATTTATATCAATTTATTTTCTCTTGTTAAGTTGTTTCAGAAGCTCAAAAATCTGGGGTACTGAGTCCAACTAGTAGTTTAGCAGCTAAGATTGCCAGTATCTTACCTACCTACCACCATCAGGTAATTTCATTGTAGTTTTTACTTGTTTTATGTGTTATTTAATTTTTTTTTAATTTTCAACACGATGTATTTTGTGTTATTATTGGTGTGTAACTAGCACGATATGAAGTGTCATCGCATGATAATTTTTCTTTATTACTCCTGCCACTAAAAATAAACCTTTTTTTTGTTTGTTTATGTATATTGCAAAATTCATATGTCCTCAGCTAAATGAATTGATGAAAGATTAGTTTTACTTATTTTCTTTTAAAGCATAATTTAATCTCACTGCATTTATATCACTTTTTTTAATTATTGAGCACTCCCCAAACTTTTAGTGTCATTTGTATGATAATTTATTTTAGTTTTAACTTACTATTTTTACACAATTTTTTCTTCTCACTTAGCTCTCCATTTATGTTAAAAAATTTATAGATTTATTTAATGCTTTATTTAGAAATTTATTTAGTTGAGTGCAACCCAAATCCATTTTAGTTATTTCAACTAAAATAAATTTCTTTCCAACTATAAGTGAGCTTTAGGGTTTTACTTTTTTTTTTCTAAAGGTTTTTACTTTCCTACTCCTAGGTAAGGGAAGTATTTTAATCTTGTCAAATTTTCTATGTGCAATTTTCAATGGATCTTTACGTTTCAGAGCTCCCTAAGCCTGAAATACAAATTTTCAGTAATTTGTCTGTCTTTCTGTATATGTGAGAGGATTATCTCATGAAAAGGTGGACCGATTCCGTTGCTTTTTATTTTGTTTTGTAGTGATTCATCCAGTGATGTCTCTGAATCAAATCCTAATAAGATAAAAAAATTGTTTTTCTGTAGCGCCAAAGTGGCTTTAATGATTTTGATTAAACTTTCCTATAGTTTTCTACTTAGTGTCCTTTCAATTTTCATATATGAAATGATTTCCTAAAAAAATTCAGGAAAAAAAGTTATGTAGGAAAAACTTTTTTGGGGTATAATTGACAAACTATATATATTATAGTAAATTTTATACATAATCTTTTTGAAATCTAATAAGTAATTAAATTCACATACAAAAAAAACAAAACAATATTCTTAGAAATTGAACCAGCATTAGCTATGATAAAGCATAGTATATTTAATTTTCTATACATGTTTTTGATGTCCGGTCTTCAACGAATCTTTATACGTTTCAGAAATACCAGATGACTTGCTTCGTTACCTCAGTTTTGTACGGGCTATGCATTTTTAAAAACATTTTTTATTCAGGACAAAGGCCCTCGAAATATGATTAAATAAATAGAAGAAATACACGTTAATTAAATATCACATTTCCTTCTTCATTCTTGCCTTTCAGCATCGAGCATGAGCCTCTGTCCACTTCTTCCACTCATTTCTATCTTCGTCCATTTGACGCATCTGACCCCATGTCTTTCCTCCCATCTTTCTAATTCGTTTCTTATGCTCCCTGTAAGTCATCCCGGGTCAATTCACAGCTCTTTGTCTTTCAGGTCTTCTCCATATTCCATTTTATCTTGCAGGAATGTGGCATTCTGTGTACATGTCCCAACCTCCTGTGTTGTTGCTGCTCTATTTTAGCTTTCATGAGATTCATCTTTAATAACTTCATTACGTATACAGTCTCTAATTGTCTTTCCTACGATTCTTCTGAGGAATATCATTTCCACTGCAGTTATTCTTGACGTTTGCTTCTCCAGAATTATCCAGTGTTTTGCTCCATATTATACCGACAAGAATATTGTTTTATCAATATTTAAAGTTTGGTATTTCTATTCATTTCCTTCTTTCTGATTAAAGTATTGATGGTTTGGTAGAAGACCCTGTTGATTTTCCTTACTCTGTTTGAAATTTCTGGATCAATAAAAGTATCTATGCTTCTAAGTGCACCCAGATATTATAATGTATCTACGTGTTCCATTATCATTCCATTGCAATTGATATTTAATACTAATTGATTTCTCCCTGTATGCATTACTTTACTTTTTTGTTGCATTCATATCCATCCATTTTCGGGTTAATTTCTCTCCATTCCATAATTGCTTTTTGTTGATTAACTGAGAGCCTTAGCAATTTGTCATCTGCGAATAAAAATGCCTATGCCAAAGTAAGAAAAAGGTTCCTATACCCAACTATTGTCCGTCGAGTTCTTCTCTTGCATATTCTAAAAATCTCATCCATAAATGTTATAAAGAGGAGGGGACCATACTTCCAGTATCATTTTCATAATTATTCCAGTATCATTTCATAATTCTCGTCTTTAATGAAAATGAAAATGAAATGAAATGAAAAAAATAGTAACACCTTCCATAGGATCCTTTATATTCCTATCAGGTTTCGCATTCCTACTTGAAGTGCCTTCGCTGTACATCAGAATTTCCTTTTGTTGTCTCGATAACTATCTTCAACCTATTTCCCAAAGTCTTCCCATTACTTTTTCTTGACATTTTTATCACCATCTTTGTATGGTTACTACTACCACCTTATATATTCACCCATCTCCGCAAGATTCCTTGAGCTTATATATTTTTTTTATGCTTTCTTGTCATTAAAAATGTATTAAAATATATGATAATTAAATATTACATTTCCAAATTTCATTTTCTTAAATTTTATTCTTTTTCCTTCATTGTACTGCGTATAATGACCACAAGTCATTCTAGTCGTCTGAGATAGGTTGTAGTGACATTAGTAATTATAACCAATATGATTTTATGTTGACGATTGTCTAAATTAAAGTAATTTACTTAGTCCCTTCAAGGTTGTTATATACCATATTGTGTAATTTATGTAAAATGAAATTATCTAAAAAATTAATTTCATGTCAAAATACTTCATGTAGTATTTTCTGTCAATCTTTTGAAATAGTTTTTATTGGAAAACCATGTTTTCCAGTTTCCTATTTAGAGAACAAATAAATTCCTATTCTAACTGAAAATAAACAAGAAAATGTATTAAGTTTTTGGTTCATTTTATGAAAATGTCATTTTGTTACAGAGATGTTATAAATTCTGCTGCTTTGGGTTGTGTAGTGCTAAATATTTTTATTTTAGTTCAGCTTGATTATTGGTTTAAAAAATGAGCTTTATTTAAAATGGCAATTTATTTTAAATTTCATACCTACTGTTTGTAAAAAGTCTTATGGGATCCAAAATTTCAGTCTTGGTATAAGAAGTTACAGAAGTTTTTATTTTCTTCTGTTTATTGCATGTACACAAATAGCTAACCCTAATGATTTAATGAATCTTGGAGTGTACAGTTTTCTTTACTGTTTTTTAGGTGATGGGATATCTAGATTTAATGAACTATTTACTTTCTGTTTCTTATCATAACTTTTGTAGAAACTTCATTAAAATAGCTAAAATTATGAGTTAATGCTGATATAGCAGATTTTTTTTCTGATTTAATTTTCCCATGGCTGGAATGTTACATCATAATGAATATGTTTGAAGAGTTATTAAAAAGATTAACATATAATTGTCAGTATTACATCGAATATCCAAGATGAGGTTTGTACTTTTTACATATCCGTCTTGCAATCTCTTGAGCATTGGTCTGCCCAGGAACAATTTCCATTTTACATTTCATGAATAATTGTTGAAAAGCTACAAAAGTAAGTTACTTACTTTTAATATTTCATTATTAAAACATGATTATTTTTTCTGAGTGTATTTGTTTCTATATTTTAATAGTAATTTCTAGGAAAATAATTTAAACCTTTAAAAATTCACAAACTTTTTCTTTTGATTGATATTTTGAGCAGATTAACTCATTTTCCACTTATTTATGTATATATGGAAATGTTACATTATCCAAACCTCATTTTATATTTTTATTCATTTGTTAATTGTCATGGGCTATTATTTAAATAACATTACAATTTTAAATTAATTATTATGTTCATAACACTGGACTATTAACCTACAAGTGAATCTTATAGTTCTGGCTTCCCAGCTTGTCTATGTCTATCCAAACCTCATTTAGATGACATTTCTCTTTCAGTCAAAACCACCGAAGGGACTCACTTCGTTATTGACCACATTAATTATAAAAAAATGTTTGACAAAGTTAAGAACCACATATACACCACAAGTGGTGATATAACTACATAATTATAAAACCAAATTTCTGGCTATTCTACCTACTCTGTTTGAGTAAAATCAACAATCTCTCTAAACTCTTAATTTAAATTTAAATAAAGATAATTTTTTAATCAGAATATTGGATAATGACTTATTGTCTAAATTAAATTGAAAAATAAGTCCAAATTATTAAGTTCCAAGGCTCTATACATAGCTCGTCTTATCATTTATCCACTGTCCAATAATAAGAACAGTGGTGAGTGACGATATTTTAGGCAAAGGTGTAAAGATTGCCTCTTGTTAAAGAGTCATTCCTAAATTCATTTAGTAGATTTTATGTTTATCGTGTATAAAAATAAAATAATAAATACGATACATTAGTAAAATTAGACAGTTCATTTCTATTAAAAAAAATAAAAAATATATATATATATATATATATATTTAGTTTTGGTTCCCTACTCTCCTTGAGTTAGATTACGGTTGAAAAGAAAAGTTCTGCAATTAAATGCTAACTAATAATTTCAGAAATAATAGTCAAGTAACTTGCAAGAAATAGAATATTTTTTAAAATTGAATTTTCTTATCCTAAAAAATAGTTGAAATAAAAAATGAAAAATATATTTTGGTTACATTCTAGTTAATGGAGAAGATAAAAAAAAGAAGTAATAATACAAAATAAATAAATAATGGTAATTGTTGAATAAGTTATTGTGATTTAAAAATAAATTCTAGATACTGATTGAATGTGTAATCTATTTTACAAAAATAAACAATTTAGAAATTTTCACTTATCAAAAGATTGACTAGTAGTAATCAACAGGATTGTCTGGAGATCACCTGGCCTTACTAGTAAACTCTGGTTCTATTCATGCTATCTACTAATTTTGTTTTTCTGTTGTCTTTTAAATTAGGTTCTTAGGAATTTAAAATAAAACAGGAAATATAAAAAATAAAGTAAATTATAATTGTGGATTGATGGTTGGCTGTAATGAATAATTAAAGAGAAGGTTGGTTGGGGTGATCAGTAAAAGTAAAAAATAGTAAAAATAAATAATTATACATATTTTTTTAAAAAGTAAATTACTAGTAACTAATAGATACATAAACTAAATAACAATAGGGGGCGGGGTGGCCGAATGGGCTAAAGCGTGTGCACAGCACCGCGAGTTTCCCGGCAACCAGATATATGAAGATTTGAGAGACAAGAAAAGTACGAGTTCGCGTCCCGGTGCCAGAGGGGATTTTAAATTCCCCGCCCTCACCCTCTGGCCGGAGAAAATTCCGTATAGCCTAAACGGCGAGGTATGAAGGTAGGCAAAGTGTGAATTTTAATATTGATGGTTTTAAAGAATATCAATTTTTTTTTTTTGTTAAATCAAAATATTGTTTTAATGCAATTATATTATACTCAGTATTAGCGATTATAGATTTTTCCTTATGAATTCTCAAGATTATTGATAATAAACAAAACTGCAAAAAAGGGATAAAGATTTATACATGTATTGTTTCTCTTAAATCAATTATTTTAATGATTTCTCATTCCATTCTATTTGTGTATTAGGATCTACAGACTAAATTTATCAGAATTTTAACATTTAATAAAATTTTTAAATGATTTGGTATGTCAGCTAAAGCAGAATTTAGAATATAATACTTTATTTATTCTGGGATCCATTCCTTTAGAATAATACAGAATGATAGAAATGTGGGCTATTTAGTCTCAGAGATACATATAAAATAATCACTAAGTAAATAAATAGTCATAATTAAAAAGGTATAAGTTGCTTTGTAACTTTAATCAATTAAGGAAGGGAGAAAAAATGATAAAAAACAAGAAGTAAAAATAATGAAGAATGATCTAATAATTTATATACACATTTACATTAATATCTATTTACAGTTTTATGAGGACTAGATGGATAAAAATTATTGAACAGATGGAATTTAAAGGTGTATAGAGGGTATTGAAGCAACGGATGTAAGAAGGTATGGAGTTCCATAGGGATGAGGATCAGATAATGAATGATCTGTTGAAAGCAGTGATTCGGTGGGCTCTTGTATATAAATCTGATGACTGGGAATGGGTATTACAGGAATGAACAGAGGATTTGTATTGGAGGAGCTCAGAGATGTATGAATTATGGTGGGATTGGATGACTTGTAAGAGGAAGGAAGGATGCTAGGAAATACTTATGATAGGCAGGATAAAGCCTCTTCAACTCTTAATAAAAAAAGGAAACAGAGGCTTCTCCTGGGATCCCGAAGATGAATCATACAAAGCAATGCTACTAGAAATATAGTGTTAGTAAACGTTTAATTACACAAAATTTTAATTTATTTAGAGTAGTATAGTTCACTGGGTAACAACATGTGACTTTCAATTATCAAGCCAATGATTAAGTCTGGCTGTTAAGAAAATTTTATTTTGTATTCCATTAAAATTTCTTTTATCAAGTTATGAAACTGTGAAAGTTTGTTCCAACTATTGACATTTTTGTGAAATTTTCTTCCCACTATTAAAATTGATAGGAAATCTTATGGGAATATTTCCCTTCAAACCTTAAAAAAAAAAACTTGTAGTGACATTCCTGCTCAAGACCATTCATCGGTTCTAGCTCTACATTTGTAAATTTTTATAATAGTTTTTATCTTATTGAATTAATAAAGTGAAATATTAAATATAAATTTATTATTTCGATGAACACTTCAAACCCTTTTAGTTTAGACCACTTAATTACACTTTATCTCATTTGAACATCTGACATGTCAGATCATAATCTCCTATTTCAAAATTTTAGAAGCATATCTTTAACATTAATAACAATATCATTAATATTTAAACAATTTACCCACATTATATTTTAATATTTAGAAATATTTTAACAATAACTGTCAATGAATTAAAACTTATTCTTTAAATTTAAGGAAAGGACTTATTTAAATTTTAGGGAATATAAAATTCTTAGCGCTGAACTTAGGGCCGAAACATCGGCAAAAATAAACATAAATATACTTATTTATTTTTACTGATCATCCCAGCCATTCTTCTCTTCAATTTATCCCTTTATAATAATAAAAAAGTGCACATTTCAAGCATAAATTGTCTGGCTTTATTACAAATCTAAATTAATGGCTTTATTATAAATCTAAATTAATATTATTATAAAATAAATGGCAAACAGAAGTATTTATGGTATTAAATGAAATTTAAAAGCTGTATCCTATTACCATATAAGCTTCATTCTATTTTATGCTGATTTTTACTCTTGTTATTTTACTTGTGTGGATATGATATATTTCCTCATCATCACTACCAATGAAGAACTGAAAATTTCCAAAGCAATCCACTGAAAGTTGGAAATATTTTGAAATTTCCCAGATGACAGCATGATGATCCCTGTGGGTGTTAACTAGAAAGACTAGACTCATTATTTTCATGCTTGACAAAAGTAAAACATCCGTTATTCATTGCATGAGTAACTACTCTTGTGCAAGGTAGTCCCTTAGTCACAGTTTATAGTTAACTAATAGTGTCAAAAATTCAAAGGATTAAAATCTCTTTCTGCTACTTCATCACTTTGTCTTTAAAAAATATTAGAATTATTATTTTGCAGTTACTAAGTTCTTGGGCTTCAAATATTTACTGTTGGATTTGTACAGATTAAAAAATTGTATCCTATTCTCCCCAAAAAATTATCATCAAAGTTATAGTCAGGGTTTTATAATTGGTGAGAAGGGAATGAGTAAAACATTAGTTGAGGACATGAGATGGGTATGTAAAGGGTGTGCGGCGTTGGCCTAGCGAAGGAAGATTGCACTGTGAGGAGAAGCGACCTTCCAGGAGGCAGCCCCGAACCCTTGGCTGTGGAGAGATCCTTCACTACAGCCCTTGGCTCCTCAATAAGGCCAAGGTAATCTTCTCCTTGATAATCGTTAAAATTATAATTGGGATATTAACACTTACTATTTTGGATAGGGTATCTTCACTTTCTTATAAATTTGTCAAATTCTCTCCTAAAACCTAACATTTTACTAGTCTCAGCGTTTAACATGCTTAGTAATTATTATATTTTCTGTTGCTTGCTGTTGTTTTATTTAGTTACAAATGCCTAGCATGTGCTTATTTTAGTTCACTTTTTGGTATTTAATCTTGTATGGTTTTATAAAGGTATGCTTGTACTAATAAGTATATATACTGTAAATAAGTTCTTATTTCATTATTGTAAACAAGGATATTTTTATAAGGGTAATTTTTGTTTAATACATTAAATATTTTTCCATGGAAATTACACTTATTTATCTTATCCTATTTATTTATCAAAAATGACAGTTTGAACCTGTTGGCTCATTTTCAAGTCCATCTATAGTTAAAACTCACAATTTAGAATTACATATTTTTACATTATTAATTTAATTAAATTCGTTAAAAATAAATAATTTAAATATACGCAATCTCATATTTGACATCTTTACCTTCATTTTTTACTTTTCTTACATTTTCAGACATTATGCCTGTGTCATTAATGAATTTCTTGTCAAAATTTAATGTGTAATTTGCTGTCATTATATATATATATATTCATACATATAGACCATGTAGATTTTTGACCACCCAATGTGGTCTTCTTGTAGACATATATTGATTGTCTAAGCACAGATAGCCTGGAGGAGATTACCCAACCTCACATTACCACAGACCATGATCTCCATTATGCACCGGCTGGCTATCCACAGCTCCCTTTGAGACCAATTTGTCAGTGCCCTTCCCATTGACTTACTCCAAGCTCAAGGAGAGTGACAAATCTGTCTATATAGGTCTATCGATTATGGCTGCTCAGAGTCAACAGACTTTTTTTTAGAAATATACCATCCATGTACTAAACATCAGGGAGGCCAATAACATCCTGGAAAATCACATCGTTATTTCTGCCTAAAGCTCACCGGTTTGGCTCATCAATCGGTGTTTCACATCCAATAGGCTGACAGGCCTCGCATATCTGGAGGGGGATCTTGGTTTTCTCCAGTGGACGGTCACCAGATTTGAGCAGTCAATCGTCCAAGTACTTATCACACTTGATATTGCTTAACTTTGGCTGCCAATTGCAACGGGGCAATGTTGCAGAGCGGACTAATGTTTGTGCACAGTACCGTCGTTGCCCGGTGACCCGGATCAAAGATAATTTGATAAAATAATCACATGTCCGTGTATTGGGGGACTTTTAACTCTGACATTTATCCCCCGCTCTCACCAGGGAAAACCCTGTATTGCCTAACAGGCGTGTAAGGGAAGGACAATAAAAAGAAATAAAAGGTTGCTAATGGTTGTTGCACTTGCCCATTTGGCCAGCCCGGCCCCTGTCATTATATGAGTGGCTTCATAACAAAGATGACAGACATCTGTCATTTTCAGAAAGTGGAGAAAAATTCAATTTTTGTTTTGTAGGTTCTATTTAAATTGTTTCTAATGATTTTATTTAAGAATGTTCCAAGTTGATTCATGAAAAAAAAATGATTAGAATTCATTTATATTGAAGCAATGTTACAGATAATTGGCTTTTTATCAACTTTTTAAAAATGACAGATGTCTTTCCATCTTTGATATGAGGCCACTCACATGTATATATGTGTATCCACACTCGACATTGCTTAAGTTTGGTTTCCTAAAGTGATATGTTATGAAAATTCATTTGTGTTGGTTATTAATGCTCACCATTGTCCAATATATCTATAATAGTTGTACATTTAATTTTATAAATGTTATTAATTTAGATTAGATTATAATAATTTAATGTTAAATACAATAAGTATGTGTTCATAATGTTTGTCAACATGTTTTAACACACCATGATGTGATTTAAAATTTACTTCATTATTCATATTTTTAGTTATGTATATGTATTCAATTATTTTTCTTATTTTATTATATCTTGCAGTATTTGGTATCTTTACATCGTCAAAATAAAATTTATCATTGTTCATTATAATATGATTTGCTAAGGATATCGTCATGTTTATGTATTCTGAAACATAAAACACATTGGTTGTATATTGTTTTATTTGATTTTTAAATTGTATGAAGTTTCTCATATAAATGAAAATGAGTCAACAGGCTTGAAATGTTGTCTGGGATAAAAATAAAGGGTATAATTTCCTTGAAAAAAAAATTGTTGTACTGTAAATAAGTTTTGTCAGAAAATTATAATATTTGTGTTGTATTGATAGCTTTAAAAATCAAGATGGAAGAATTACTTATTTGTTGAAGCATTAATGTTCATGTGGGAACTAATAATTTAAAAAATAATTATAATTATGTCGTTTTTAGGAATAAATATTTATTATAATTGAGGAAAAATAGGAATTGTAAGCTTGGATTTCATTTGTTTTAAAATTGGGTTTTCTCAGAAAAAATATTAGTATTTAACTCTATATTAGTTCTTATCCATACTAATAATATTTTTTAGCACTGAAATGTAAATAGTAGGATATGTTAACTTGGATATGCAATTGGTAATTAATGATATATCATACTTTTTTCATCCTTTGATCTCTATTATTATAGACTTTTTTTCCCTGAAACTAATATTTGATTTTGTTGGGTTCTTTTCTGTTCTTTTAGTAGTTTTTATTAATGTTAAAATTAATATATCTATTTTTATACAATTAAATTTATGTACAATATTAAGAGAAATGTTGCAACGCTCCAATTTTTGGTCATTCAATCATTGTTATGGTAGAAAAGAGAATGGGGCTTTTCTTTTATTAAATCCTAATTTTAAAAAAATAATTTCATTTTATAGTTTGGCTAGAATTTATCTATATATTGTTGGTAAAATATGCCTAAATTAGAATATTACTTACTTTTCTTTTTGAACATTCATTAGGTGATATTATCTTCATAAAAAATCTAATTTTCACATTATTTTTTGAACTTTCGTTTTCTTTATTGGTAGCTCGATTCTTATTTGTTGAGGCTTGTTTTTCTGTATTTTTTTATTTATTTATTATTATTTGAACTCTTATGTCCAAATAAATATCCTGGTCATTTTCATTGAAATTCACAAAATAAATAATACTGCTCTACATTGATATTGTATCTTACTTGAAATTAACCTCATTCCATGTTTTTTTGGTGTGAGAAATTCGAATTTTCACATAAAAATCATCAGTTAGCTCTAGTTTCAAAGATATAGTTACTTTTTGGGTAATAAGGGGAAATTTCCTGCTCCTGGGTCGGTAGGGTTGATTTCTGTCTGTAAATCACAGAACCATTTTGCTAACAGTTACATGCTGTGCTTATATTTCAAGTTACTCATGACGTGATTTTTCTTGCTTCAGGCATTCTTTCAATGATTTTGTCATGATAACCCAGTAGTTTTGGTGAATCTACAATGCCCAGGAAGGAATGCTCCTGACAATTTTGTTTTATTTGTGGGAAAGTAACCATTGCAAGTCAAAAACATCCTATCACCCAGATGATCAGATAGCATACCACAAGTATTTTGGGATGAAGGTTGGTGAACAAGGTAAACCCTGGGCCCTGCACATCTGCTGCATCACATGTAGCATAACCTTAATAGAATGGTTGAACAAGAAAGGTCGTTCAATGCATTTTGCTGTTCCCATGGGGTGGAGGGAGCCTACTAATCACGCTGGCAACTACTACTTTTGCATGACCCTGAGATTCCTTATGCTTTACGGCCAATACCACACGGAGATGAATTGCCTGTTCCAAGACCTGAACACTATGACTGACTTGAATGAGAACGAGGATAACGAAGAGGAAAATTCTCTAGGAGGAATCCCATTAGATGATTCTGTTTATTCTTTTAAACAAGAAGAACGAAAACCCCACTTGCTTACTCAAGCTGAACTCATTGAGTTCATTTGGGACCTGAATCTGCCCAAATAGAAAGCAGAACTTTTGGGTTCAAGATTGAAGCAATAGAACTTCTTACAATCTGGTGTAAAGATTAAAATGTATAGAAATCGTCAGAAAGACTTGATCCACTTTTTCAAATAGTATGAGAACCTTGTTGCCTGTTGTGATGTCTCAGGTCTAATGACAGCATTAAATCTTAATCATAACCCTTCTGAATGGAGGCTGTTCATAGATTCATCAAAGCTATCCCTCAAGGCAATTCTGCTGTACAATGGCAATTTACTTCCCCTTATCTCTATTGGCCATGCAGTCTTCACGAAGGAAACTTACCAAGACATGGAAACCCTTCTAAAATCCATCAAATACCAGGACTACTAATGGAAAATGTGTGGGGCCCTGAAAGTGGTGGCCATTCTTCTAGGCATGCAACAGGGATATACTAAGTACTTTTGTTTCTTATGTGAGTGGGTAGTCAGGACAGAGCATCTTATTACATCAGGAAAGAATGGCCCCAAAGAGAAGTCCTGACCCCTGAACAAAAAAATGTTCTCTAAAATCCTCTTGTTGGTCCTGAAAAAATCATTTTGCCTCCACTACATATAAGGTTAGAGCTCATGAAATATTTTTTCAAAGGAATGGATCAATCAGGAGAGGCATTCAAGTATTTAAGAGGAAAATTTCTTCGCTTAAGTGAAGTTAAGGTTAAAGAGGTTGTGTTTATTGGTCCACAAATCCCTGAGCTTCTTAATGACTGAGATTTTTTAAATATTCTTTAGGGTAAAGAAAGAGCAGCTTGAGAAGCATTTACAGCTTTAGTTTATGGTTTCTTGAGTAACAAAAGAGAGGACATTATGCTGTCTTAGTCTAAACCCTCCTTGAGAAGTACAGAGATCTCAGTTGTAACAGAGTTGTCACTCAAGATTCACTTTCATTTGAATTTCTTTCCTGAAAATTATGGACCTGTAAATGACATGGTGAGCGATTTCACCAAGATATATCCTCGATGGAACAAAGATATCAAGGTCGGTTGGATACTTCAATGCTACGAGACTACTATTAGAACGTTATGAGGGATTTGCCAGAACATTTATACAATCGTCAAGCAAAGAAGAAACGTTCTAAGTAAACTGTACAACAGCGCTATTCTTGCCGAGAGAAGCTGTAATTTAATCTTTTGTTGGTTGTAAAAGTATTTCACAAATAATAAATCACTTTTAAAGCCTAAAAAATGATTGTGTAACTTCCAATAACCTAATTTTTTGTATTCGATACTGGGTATACGTACCTGCAGAACGATAGGTAATATAAATATTCTAATAGAAAATTTTAGTTTCTCACACCAAAATTAGTTAAGAGAAACAGTTCTCATTGAAGACAAAAAAAAAAAATTTCTAGGTCAATGTAATTTTAAGTTTTATCATATGTTCCAGTATTCTCTTGTTCTTTTGTTGCTTAGCACTGCTTGGAGCCTGATCTGTATCTTCAAGTATTACTCCGTATATAGTCCTCTTTGATCTGGCATCAACTAGTCATGATGTAGCAGTATATCTAGAAAGTTGAGATTAAACTTCATTATAGAGTCGCTGGTATATTTACTTCTGATCTATACGAGAATATGGTGGTTTTAATTTTAAATTTGTATGTTTCATATTATTTCCCCAATCAGTTAAGGTATTTGCTTTACGTTGTTATTGTCTTTAGTCACCCAGAGTTGAGAAGTCTTGTTGATTTTGATGTCTTTTGACTACTTTACTTTATAAACAAATTTAATTAAACAAAAATCAATGTTATCTGATGATTGTTGAAATAGATATATCATAAGTTAACAAGTATAAATGTAATTCTGTTTAATTAGATCAATGTTAGAACATTAACACATGAGATGAGTATTTTAGATATTATTTAGTGAACAGGAATGTGCCTGTTTTTAATATGTCTAATTTTTCCTATACCATTTTCATGCTTTACTATATATAATCATTATTTCAACAGATCACACAAGAGGAAGATGTAGAAAAATGCAATCACGAACTTCATGCTCTTCTTCAGAGGTATTACATCTTGAACTATTTTATTTATTTTTGTTACCTTAGTATAATCTTTGCTTATTATCCAAAGAAATACATAATAGTGTATTTACTTGAGATTCTTTTGATATAATATTTCTTTGTGCTACATTTTATTTAAATGGTTTTACCCTCTCTTTGTAATCAATAATTATTCTCTTTCTTTTAATCTCCTCCCCTGTCTTTATTTGTATAGCTTTAATCTTAAAGATGTCACTGGGTGCCCATCTGTTCTAACTTTAATCATTCATTCATGTGTGGCACGACATCCCGTTACCGAGACTGGGCCTCCTCCAAGAGCCTCCGCCAGTTGGCTCTGTCTTTTGCTGCAGCTCTCCAGTTCCGTACACCAAGCAGGGTTCTCGCATCATAGGCCACGCTGTCCAACCACCTCGTCCTCGGCCTTCCTACCCGTCTTGCGAGGTGCAGCTCCTCCATCATTATTTTCTTGGGTATCTCAACGGTGCTCATTCTGGCCACATGCCCTGCCCACCTTAGTCTGGCCAGTTTAATATAGGTGACTACGTCGATGTCTGCATAGAGAGAACTGAGCTCCCTATTTTTTCTTTTCCTCCAGACATCACCCTCCTTTACTGGACCATAAATCCTTCTGAGGACTCCTCGCTCAAACACACTCAGCTTCATCTCATCGTGTTTGGTCATCGTCCAAGCCTCTGAGCCATATGTCAAAACAGGCCGAACAAGAGTCTTGTATATGATCAGCTTGGTCTTCTTTGAGAGGTACCTACTTCTTAAGTGTCGGCCAAGACCATAGACACATCTATTGGCAGCCGTGATCCTTCTTTGTATTTCTTGAGCCATGTCATTTTTGCTATTAATTTCAGACCCAAGGTATATAAAACTTTTCACTCTCTCAAACTTAAAAGAACCTACCTCAAATGGAGAGTTCAGATCCACCTCACCACCAACTCTCATATACTTAGTTTTCCTCTCGTTGACTTCTAGACCAAGTGGTCTTGCAGCTGCTTCAAGGCCTATAAACGCTTCTCTGAGAGCCTGTTCCGACCTACCTATTATGTCAATATCATCAGCAAAACCAAGAAGCTGTGTCAGGCGATTGAAGATTATATCGTTGGTCTGAATACCGGAGTCTCTTACAGCTTTCTCCTCTGCCAAGTTGAACAATAGACAGGCGAGGGCATCCCCTTGCCTAACCCCACTGCTCACTTTAAACTCTTCGGAGTCGTCAGAACCGACGCATATTCTACATCTCGAGCTGTCCATGGTCATCTTGATTAGGCGTACGAGCTTCTTCTGAGGGATGCTTAGCTCCTCCAAGGCACAGTATAGTTGCGTTCTATCAACGCTGTCGTATGCTGCTTTAAAGTCTAGGAATAAATGGTGGGTGACTACCTTATGCTCCATAGTCTTTTCTAGGATCATCCTCAGAGAGAACAGTTGATCAGTGGTTGAGCGTCCTCTTCGAAATCCAGCCTGATACTTCCCCAGTTCCTTTTCAGAATACGGGAGAATCCTCTCAAAAAGAATGTTAGAGAGCAGTTTATAAGCACACGAAAGGAGTGAGATTCCTCGATAGTTAGCACATTCTGTTTGATCTCCTTTCTTATGTATTGGGCAGATAATGGCTGTTGCCCATTCCGTAGGCATAGCTTCCCTCTCCCAGATGGTCAGCATTAAATCATGCAGAGCTTTCTTAAGTTCTTCACCTCCACATTTCAACAGCTCTGACTGGATTCCGTCCGGGCCTGGCGCCTTTCCATTTTTCAATTTCATCAGGGCATTTTCCATTTCCTCCTCATCCGGGGGTTCAATAGAATTCAGGGAGTCTTCCTTCATTACTCCTACTTCTCCAGGCACCGTTCCTCTGTTTAATGTGTCTTTAAAATGTTGTACCCATCTCCTTAGTACGTCATCTTTGTGGCTTAAAATTCGTTAAAGATCCATTCGTGTCTTTGCATGCCGTCACTCTGGGCCTGAAAGCTGCCCTACCCTCGTTTATTCTCTGAAAAAACAGCCGACTTTAATTTTGGCCGCGCAATGCCTCTATATCCTCCATGTTCTTGTTTTCCCAAGCTCTTCTCTTTCCGCGGAATAATCTCTTCTCTTCGCGTCTTTTTCTTCGATATGTTTCTTGGGAGAGCCTTGTGGGACGCTGAACCTTCTTTCTGTAGGCTTCATTTTTCACTTTTACTGCTTGAAGGCACTCAGCATCAAACCATGGAGGCCTTCTAGATTTAGTCTCGTAGCCAAGAGATTCTTCTGCTGCCTGTTTCATTGCGTTGCTGCATCTCTTCCACTGTTCATCGACCATAGAGCTGTCATTAATTACATCTTCATTAAGTTTCGTCTCCACAGCTTGTTGATACGAATATTGGTGGTCTGAGTCCTTAAGTTTAGCTACATCAATCTTCTTCTTTGGTCGTTGGTGGTGGTTTTTAATCAGCAAATTCGTGATCTGACCTCGGCAATGCTCAAATAGTGATCCGTGTCCATATTTGCACCTCTATAAGATCTTGCATTTATCATGTTGGACTTGTGACGGGCACTAATGAGTACATGGTCTATCTGTGATGTTGTTTGCCCATTTGGAGAGATCCATGTTGCTTTGTGGATATTCTTTCGAGGAAAAAGAGTTGTTCCAACAACCAGTCCGTGCAATGTAGCAAAGTTCACCATCCGTAGCCCATTATCATTACTGGTCTTATGCAAGCTGTAGGTTCCTATGGTCGGCATGAGTGATTCGGCTCTAACTTTAATCACATATCTTTACTGTATAGCAATGTTCAAGAATCCTTGATGATCTGTGCAAGGATAAAATCTTAGAGAGTAATTATAATTATATGATAATTATGAAACGTATGTGACTTTAAGTACTACAAAAACTGTCGGGTTCTAGGCAAAAACTTGAGTTGGAAGCATTACAGCAGAAGCATAGGGACGAAGTAGAAGCTCTGTGTAAACGGCTTTCTCTGGCTATCCCTTCTGCACTCGTGCATCATGGTAAGAACTATTTTCAAATTTAAAGGTGTTCATCAGTAAAAATTAGTAAATGTCTGGTGTAGCACATTGACTTTTTATTCTATGTATTTTTAATTTTTTTTTTAAATGGTTTTTATTTTATATCAATTTTTTTTATTTCATAAGTTCATCTCAATTTTAAAGTTTAAGTTTTCTTTCAACTATGAATTCTAATTTATTCACATGTTCTGTTTATTATGTCGAGAAGTATAGCTTTAGAAAGTATTCATTAAAATTTATTCTGTTGATTAGAGAAAACAGTGAATTTCAAGATAGTTGGCTGAAAGATGTATAAATATTTCTGATCGAGAATTTAAAATCATTCCACTAAAAATAAACCTACTTAATTCAAACTGTACTTTAAATATTTATATCCAATTATCAAGAAAATAAATGCATCTTAAAATGTCAGTTGTTCTTAATTGAACAATTAATGTTGATTGTAACTTTTGTTAAATATTTTATTTTTATCCTATTGAATCAATAGAATTCCCCATTTCTAATTGTAATATTGAAAACATATTATTTGTTCCATCTGTCTTCACCAACAATCAAAGCATGCTGCCTTACCCCATCTCTTCATGAGATAACAACTTTTGGCTTTTATTTACTGGTCCCATCTGTCCCATTGAGAGTTAAAGACTTCATTAGGTCTATTAAGGAAAGGAGGATATGTATTTCAAAACTATCAACGGCTTAGAAATGTGAAAAAGAAAATGTAAATATAATAGTTTTATAAAATAAAATGTTTGTATGCTCTTTTTTCTTTTTTGCAACAAATCACACTAAAAACTTTTATGAGGTAATTGGGTACTTAGAAGGAAAAGAAATTGTGCTGCAGTAAAATTGAGTACGAAGTAAATTGAACTGCAATAAAATTCAAGAGATAAAAAATGTATATAAGATTGAGATTGAAATTTTAAGCAACGAGAAAAGTTCATATTTAGCTCAAACTTAAAATGATAGGACAGTCCAGTGCAGATCACTGGTAAAGTTGCATGAGTTCATTGTAGCATAAGGTGTATGGTTGCCAAACACAATATCTCAAATCTCTCAGCTCTACTTAACAAAAGATAATAAAATAATTATTTAAAACTAAATATTTTTATTCAGAGACCACATGGCTGAAAAAGTATCTTCAATGGTATGAATAAGGATATTCAGTGGTATGAGCTAGGCACAAGCAGTCCATGACGTAGCGGTACCTCCACTCTCATGATGTGGCTCCATCCCCACCACTTTTCTTGAATGCTAATTCTCTGCATATGAAAATACCCAAATGAATAACTAGGCCTTTAGATCCTGGATAATATAAAGTATTATTGAGAGCTGGCAAAGTTGTATGAGATATAAGATGCAATGAATATGGCTTAAAATGAATAATATGGTAGCACTAAGTATCGAATGAGAAGGTACTGAGGACAGATACTGAACTCTATGACACTCTTCTACCTTCCGGTTGTCTATTAACATTATTTGTTAACATTAATCTAGTATATCAACATCATTCTTTTTTTTTTTTAAGCTTAAACTCCAAAAAGTCTAATTTAGTAGTTTGGCATTAGGCATAAACTTGTGAATAACTAGGAAGGGTTTGAACCAACATTGGATAGAGGAAGATAGTGCTTGGAAGTATTTTCAGGATATTGTGAACTCATATTCACGTTAAAATTGCTGTAATGAGAAACAAGGTTGACAAGGGTGGGATTTAAAGAAGTTATCAAATGGAAGACGAGGAGGCGGTAAACTATGGCAAATAACAGAGGAGAGGTAATATTTTAAATTTCAACAAATATGTATTTCTGAGAAGGAGTTGATCGGGGGGTGCGGTCAAATTAATAGTAAATTAAATAAGTAAAATTATTTAATTTTTGCCGACGTTTCGACCTACTTTGTAGGTCTTCATCAGGGCTACAAAAGATACAAAACATGGTGAAAATAAATGAATATAAGTAGATATAAAATAAGAATAAGTTGTCTAATACAGAACTAAAAGACGATATCTCTGATCAGATCTGTTGTGGTGTAGGAAAGATTATAAAGTAATATCGTAAGATGAAAATGCAAGGTTGCACTGGGTAAGACGGTCCCTGGAAAAAATGAAGGAATTGAAGTGGGGGTTACTGCCTCACCCACCATATTCACTCGATATTGCCTCTTTTGATTTCCATTAATTCTGATCGCTTCACAAGTGGCGAAATATTTGCAAATTTGGATAATATCCGAAATTCCATCTCTATATATTTTGCTCAAAAGCTAATTGATTTTTATCGATCCGGTGGTGAAAATTTGTACGATAGATAGGAAAAAGTTGGTAATGAAGGCGATTACATCATAGATTAGAAATAAAAATTTATCTGTTTGTATTTAATGTAAGAAAACTATATTACTTTCCTAATTGGTAAATGGTTGACTGTCGTGAATATTGGAGAGAAGAATAGTTGGGGTGATCAGTCAAATAAGAAGGCAAAAATAAATAGTATCATTTATTTTTGCCTTCTTATTTGACTGATCACCCCAACTATCCTTCTCTCCTATATTACTTTCCGGTCATCCTAATAAATCAGGAATTGGGATCTGGTTTACTAGGGTGTCAGTAACCCCCTGAGGTTTGGTCAATGGATGGTATTTTTCAGGGAAAGAAATATAGGTTCTGTGTGCCTTCTGACTCCGAGCAGCTATAATCTATAGATCTAGACCAATTTTTCATTTTCCTCGAACCCAAGTAAAGTACATTGCTAGATTGGTTCCAAAGGCTTCCGCTATGGAGCTCTGAGGGGTCTTTGCCACACCATGGTCCTTAGCAACATGATGTTCGGTGACCCCCTCCAAGCTATCTGTGCTCCCACAAGCAATATCTCTGTAAGAAGGCCTACACATGTAGGAATATATTTTTCCTGCACAACTGTTAAGTACCCACCAATCAAGATTTTGGAATGCTTCAAGATTCTTGGTCCCATAGTTGATCATTGCTGAATGATAAGAAAATGAATTTTCTGCCATATCCCAGATGATGTTGAGAGTAACCCTACTCCCTCAATGGTTTATAAAATTAGGATAATAAACATTATTGCTGGAATATTTTCAATAGAAAAACTTTTGAAGTTTTCATATTGATGTACTATGTACACGTGCTAATCCAGACCATTGTTTCATATCATGTATGTAAAATACCCTGGACTTCATTAAGTTTAAGGTTGGTAAACAAACTTTTGTGTCAGCAGAATTATTCTGGTCCATTCAAAACGTATTCTTTGAAAACAATTAAAAATCATAAAGGAGGTAAAATAAAAATTTATGAGGATAATTAACAAACAACAACAAAGTAATTTAAAGGTTCAAACTGTTCACAATTTGTAGAAATGATTTAGAAAATTTCTCAAAAATAATTTTTCTTTGTTCAAATATTGTTAAGTTAATCACTTTTCTATGGACTTGCCAGTAATGAAGTTATAAATTGTTTTATATTTTTTTTTCATTTGATTCCTCTTGGTTTGGATTAGCAAGACTTCACTGCATTCCAAAATGAACATTACCAGTTATAATAATATATATATATTGCCAGTTGTTTTAGTATGTAAACATGATTATAATATGTTTTATAAAGTATGGTGGTATGAAGTATGAATGATAGTAAGAAGGGCTGTGCCCTTAGATTGTACAGAGCCGATGTAGACACTGCTGCCTGACTGGTTGTAGGTCAGATTGACTGCAGTATGGAGGGATACTCGACAGCGCTTCAGTCACCTGAACAAGTCTGCTCTCGTGTAGCCTCTCCCACTCCGATGCAAACTGTTAATAAATCTTCTGATAATGATAAAGGCTAGTCCGCTAATGCTTTAATTCTGTGTTAAATATTTATTATTTTAAAATTGAATGTATGTATATATATGTTTATATACATATAAAATTATTTAGTTGCAATAAAATTTTAGATTATTCTCAGCATGAATTAAATTTTAATAGTTTAATTTCAACAAAATATTTTACTTTTTTTTTAATCTCTATTTATTTACAATTATCATTTTATGTATGTAAGTTAGCAAAACAGAATTTTGTTCATTCATAAATTTAAGAAATGGATCCTTTTAAAATGCTAGTCCACCTTCTTTTATTGGTTTGCTATGGCTTTTTACGCAATATAGACTAAGCTGTTTTATGTTATTATATCTTTATTAAATCAATTTTTAGGAAGATAAATTGTATTATAAATTTGCCTAAATATTGTTTATTATAATTACTGTATTAACTTTTAAGACTGAGATAGTGAAAGTATAAAAATTTGATTGTTATATTGTAAATGAAATGTTCAGAGTTTTATTTTATTGCCCCTATTAATTTGAGGAAAGGAATTATATATGTATATAAATATTCATTTATATTTATATACATATGTGCTCTTGTATATAGAAATACACAATTGTAATTATATATTTATGTTTAGACATATTTAATATTCTGGTTAAAAATATCCTGTATTATTTTGAGAAGCTTGAATTATATTGTAATTAGTTAAATTCATATAATTTATAGTAATATAATGCAATTATTTAAATTAAATCAATTAAATTTAAGTTCAGTAAATGTTTAATTTTTTTTCTCCTTTGGTCAATGAATACTTGTGAAATATTTTGTTATTTATTTTTATTTTATCCATAATATTATCTACCTTAACATAAATTTATATGAAAAATAATCACAATAAAGTTCATAATTAATTACCTGACTAAGGTAAAGCAACACCAGGGTACTTGAGTTGGTCACTATAGTGTATGTAAATGATTGTTTGAGTGGATGGTTAGACCGATTTTTTATGTTCGATGTTTCAAATTATTCTATCAAATCCCATGAGTTTCCAAATTTCCAATCTGGGCCCAAATTAAAAATTATTGTATAAAATGTGTTTTAATTATTTAATCCACTAAAATGTATGTAACAATTTTTTTTAGCGCTTTTTCAAGTTTTTGCTAATATCTGAAAAGAAGAGAATAATCAGTTGAAAAAATAAGAACTATTATTTATAGGATTATCGGGATCATACTCCTGGAAAGAGCCAATTACACTTCTAATATTTTGCATATATTATCTTCTTTTAATTACTCTTCCAAAACAAATATTCAGATTGTTCTTATACAAATTACTACTATTCATTTTATCATTATAGATTTTATCTCACGTGACCAATTTTGTTTGACCTTCACGTTTATGAAGGGAGAGAATGAAAAACTTGATTATTTAAAAATTATTTTTTTCTCAATCGTTATAATCGAGTCAGAAGTGATTATTAATTATTAATAAAATAATTAATATTACTATAAAGTTAATTTTTAATGCAAAATACAAAGAAAGCAGATAAACTTGTTAGATATGTATTTAATGAATAGCAATTTTTCATTTTGTTTATGCGATATTTTAGAATTCAGATATTTTTCATTTTTTATTAGAGTCTGATATACATAATTTTTTAATTGTTTTAAGAAGTAATAAACTGTGAATGTTTTTCAATGGAAATATGGCCCAAAATAAAATCGATAGAAATTCAAATACATCGTCTCTGCTAATTCACAATCGATTTCAATTGAATTTTCATTTGGTTTGTAGAGAATTTTATTTTTTTAATATGATCTTAAATATAATTTACTATAAAATGTTTTTTTGAGTTATACATAAATAAAATTTCATTTTTGTCAGTCTTTCTCCTTTTTTTTTTTATAAATGCTATAGGTATGAGACTCTTAGAAAGTTGGATCTAAATTGTTAATAGCCAATGAGGTACTAGTCATAAAAAAACAAGTTTATCCGCTATTATAAAAAGAAGCCCATGTAAGCATGTACTGAACAGAAATTAAAAGACAATGTTAGCTTAGTAAATGCATTGTTTATTAGACTCAGAAATTCATATAAAATAAAAATGATTAATCCAACAAAAAAAAAAAACTCATCTTGGTCATTAATATTAGTCATTCAACATTAAATTTGAATTTAATGGATGGGGGCACTATACATAAAAAAGAATATTATAAAAAAAAAAAATGTTTACCCAGAATAATAATCTTGGATGGATATCAATTTTTTTTTACATTTTGCTATTTAATTTAAAACATTATCAATACAATAGGACAATAAAGTACTCATCAAAATCATAAATAGCAAACCAAGAAGTTCCTACCTTGTGAAATTATAATTAGCATCTAGTTGGCAACTAAATTTTAAAAAAATGTCTTGCTAAATATTTGAAATTTCGGGACAATATTTATCATAAAGAAATAGAAGATTGTAGTATTAATATTTTTCTTTGACTAATTATACATCATTTCATGATATTTATTTATCAAGTCCAAATAACTCACTTTTGTAACTCAATAACATAACAAAATTTATCACAAAATTAAAATTAAACACAGTTAAATTAAAATAAATTAACAAAGGAACTGGAGACTGAGTTAAGAGATGGTTTGACAACAGTTCTTAAGAAGTAAGTTTTTATTTTAAAATATTATATTTATTTAAGTAATTTTATACATATAATTTATTTCACTGGAATGGTCGCCATCATGTTAAATTATGTTTATGTCATAACAGCTACAAGTTTGACTTTTAACTTCTCTGAGTCTAAGATTTGTGTTCATAAAATATTACAAGTAATTAATTCCAAAAATGCAAATTTTTTCATTCATTGCTATTCACTTTTTTTACATTTATTAAAGTAGGAGTGATAAAATTACTATTCGCTTAACTACAAACACCATTAAAATAGTACCATTAACCACCTCTACGGATTAGTAATAATATATGTTTCCATTAAATAAATTTATTTAATTGTAAATAATTTTTAGGTTGTTAAGAAAAATATATTAAATCATATTTTAAATTATCAATAAAACATGATTGTTGATAAAATTTAAAAACATTAGATATGAATTTTCTTCCTACCAAGAATGCTGGATAAGGGAGTCTATTATAATTGTATTGAAACAATACAATTAATTTAAAGCTATGAAATAATAGCATGATGTTAAATACAGAACAATACAAAGCAAAATCACATTTGAAATATGCTGTCATGATAAATGTAATAATGCAGGGTTCGATTGGGGTCTTGCTACAATATTTTGAATAATTAATGATAGGTTAAATTCATCATCTTCATTTCCATTGTTGGCTGAACTGCTGGTACTTGGCCCAGCCTGAAATTCTTGACTTTCTGTATATCTTTTTGGATCAAGGTGTTTCCTTCTGCGTTTTTTATCATCTTTTATGGCTGAAAGGGATACATAAAGTTAGAATAATTATTTACATGGAATTATAATAAAATCATTACAAAAGATTTATTTACTTTCAGCTACCAATGACAGGTCAAATTCATCGACATCATCATTAATAACATTGTGTTTTGCAGCAGGTTCTAATACTTCCAATGCTAATAACTTTTCATCCTTGTTTTTGTTCACATTTTTTTTCTTTGTTTTCTTAGATTTCTTTGAAGCTAAATAAAAAAGATTTTGTCAATTCTTTTTTAATACTGATTAATTCCATGCCATGCTAAAATAATATTTTACCTTCAAATTCCTCAATTAATTCTTGATAAGCTTTAGAAACTAAAGTCTTAGGTTCAATTGTAACCAAATCGTACATATTCCACCTTACTCTGTAGCAAAAAGAGTTTTTTCCAACAGGCACTCCTATAATAGATGTTATCTTGAGATCACTCTCGATCGATGGATTAAGTAAATGCCATCTAGCAAGCAGCGGAACAAACTTTTGTATGGCATAATCTTCTTCCCAATTAAGCTTTTTAACTGCAATTCCCTACCAACATATTACCTACATTGACACATCAATACTAACATACATATGCTTGTTGTAAAAATATATAAAGAAATTTTTTTTTTTTTATGTTCATGCAATTGGGGTAAGAGATTTTTAATAAATCCTGGTGTATTTACAATTTTTCTGAGGATTTTACTCTGTAATACTTGTATTTTTCATACGTGTACATGTGATACTGAAATAAAAATTACCCTCAAGTTAAGTTTTAATAGAGTGATGAAGATGAGTTACTTAACTTGTTTCGCAGATGTGGAGAAGAATAGCCGAGAAGATTAGAAAGCTTAGTTTCATCTGGTAATTTTATATATTTTTGTAGTTATACTATTATTATTTATTTATTTTTTTTTTTTTGGTAGAGTAGTTTGAAAGTAGGCATAGCATTTTGCCGGGAAAAGATAACAGAGTTGATTTTCCTGTGTTTATATTCTGTTTGTGGAATCAGTTATTAAATAGATAGGATCGGTAGGTGATAGAGATGTCATAGCCTTTATAGGAAGAAACTGCAGAAGTATCATCAGGAAGGGAGGACCAATATATCGCCTACTTGTAGATAATATAAGGGGAAGCTTAAAAAATAACCTTGATGTAGAACAGGGTATTTGGGAAAGAATGGAGTGGGAAGGGAAGAGTAAGGCAAAATACAGGAGGACTAAAAAAAAAAAATTAAATTAAATAGAAGGTAAATAAATGAGATTTTATTTCCCTTAATAAGTATTTCTACCAAACACTATCGAATGCTTTTTCAATGTCTAGGAATTTAAATTTGACACCCATTCTCTACATATCTTAATGAAAATTAATATATATATATATCAAGTAAATACACAATAAAGAAAAAATGACAAATTATATGGAATTTTTACGAATAGTTTCAGAATTGTGGTCATTTGAAATTTGGAAGACAATTTCAGCTTGAAAACAGCTTGTATGTGTTGTGGCTTACTTAGGTAAAATCTAAATTTATGAACTGGAACTTCCAAAATTTATTCATTTGAAACAGGATCAGATGATACCATAAGTATTATAATTGTGATTTTTTCTCATGGATAAAAAAATTATATTTTTTCAAAGTTGTAATGGAATAGAAAAATATCCATAGCAAAAATCTCCAAGTACCTTAGTACCACCATATTTTACTACTGAAAAGAGCATACAATTAGCTATCAAATGGTAAAATAATAGTGGGCTTTTGAGTTCAAAGAGTTTTGTTAAAATTTAAATCTAATATAGTGAAATAAATTTACAAGTTATATATTTATAAGTAAGCATGATCAAAATCTCTTTCCAGATTTCATTTAGCATGGAATAACACAGCAGTATTCCTTGATTGAAGATTGGTGGGGCAAAATGATCAAAGTACTAAATATGAATGGACATGAAAAGATCATTTAGAAAGAACAGGCAGGCATAGCCGAACATATACCTCTTTTCTAAAGCTTGTTTTACTGAACAGATGTCATATCAACAGTTCAATCAGTTGGAACAGAACCTTATTACAATTAAAACTCTATAGCTTCAGTATTCATTGCCACTCAATACTTTTATAATGATTAGTATTAAGTATTGAGTAGTAAATGAAGCAAAAAACAATAAGGCAAATTAGCCTGAATGATTTTTTTTCTCTTTCTCTTTGATATATAAGATATAATATTATATATAAGATATAATATTAGATATAAGTTTCTCTTTGATAAGGTTTGGGAACGGAGCAGAAATATATTTCCGACTTTCTTGGAAAAATAGGCTGCATTTCATTTGATTCTATCACTAGACAAGAACTGTATGAAGCCCTTATGTACAAAAATATCCCTCTGATGGCCCACATACCAGGACTCAAAGAGCATAGTTATAATAAATGGAATAGAATCAAACATATTTGCCATGAGTAAAGGTTTAAAGTAAGAAGATAGCTTGAACTCTCTACTGTTCATTACATATATGGTTGAAATGTTGATATGTAAATGAAGAACAGTGGGAACAGTTTTAGAGAAGTAGAACATGAGGACGATTTTGACACAAATGGTGGTCTTTGCAGACATCAGACTCAAAAGAAAATCTACAGCTAGAGATGATCAAATAGAAGGTTGAATTGGAGAGAAAGGATATGGCAATTAATGTTGGAAAGAGTAACAAGTGATAGTCAGTAATGCATATCAGACAGAATCAAGAGGTGGTTGAAAGGCAATGCTTGGAACTCACATTTTGTTTTTTCCTAAACCTCTGATATTACATACAAAATATTCACAATTAAATACAAACATCGAAAGATATAATATTTTGTAATTAATTTTGGAGAGTTGGGGGAAAACAAAATGGTTAGTTTCAACTTGGGGGCCATTTGAGTTCACCATTGGGCTGCCAACTAATCGTGGTCAAACTATAGCCTCACTTAGATCAGCCAGTTGAGTTAGAAGAAGATTAGCTGATCTGTTAACTCATTACATCAACCATAAAAATCTATAAAAGGTAATTTTTTCAGGTGAAACTTCATTGAAGCTCCCACTCCATTAATCAAAGAAAAAAAAAGGTAAATATAATATTTTCATAATTTTTTAATGATGATTTTAGTTAATTATCAAAGGTGTCTGGATGTCAAAATAAAATATCTGTATTTTCCCCTATGAATTTCAAAAATATTTATTTAAAAAAATCTGGTGCAGTGTCTGCATCACACATCTTTCACTTATCCCTTATCTTATCTTTCACCCTCTTCTTAGCAGAAATAATTTTTTTTAGAAAAAGGGAAAGTGAAAGTAAAAAATCATAGACACTATATTTCATTGTGAGTGTTTGATCACGGTTATTTGGTGTGAGCCAAATATTACCCATTGATCTATAATTGAATAATATTGCGCTGGTTATTGTGAGAATTGGTGTGTACTGTATGAGGTTGGATCGCTGAAATTTAATACATGATTAAATTAAACAAATGAAATAAAGTTTGCGCATTTGTACGATTTTGTTGTTCTTGACAGATGAAGTACATATTGCTGATTGAATAATTCGTGAATTACGAACTTTAGTATGGCATTGTAATGTTGGAAGTGATTTTGCTTTGATTAAAATTGCATTGTCAATTTGACTCACTTGCTGTCTGAAATTGAGCTTCATTTTTTTTTTTTTTTTTGTCTCCTCTTTTTCCTCCCCACACTTCCTCCACCAAGTTGTTCTCTTGAGTTTAGCAACTCATTTTCTTTGTTTTTTTGATTTCTGAAGAAAGTAACTGACATTGTGCAAACTTTACCAAACGAATTGGATTAACTGAACAGGAATAGTTTTCAGCAAAATGCAAGTCAATAAAATGGTGGTGAAGTTCAGAATTGTTCTCATTTTTTTTTTTTTTTTTTCAGAGGTTGATCCCTGAACATTGAGTATTTTTATTAGTTTAAGTACCGGTATATATATATATAAATTTTAATATTTATATATATACCATATTATTTATTACCATACCATATATATACCCATATTTATTTATATACCATATTTATTTAATATTTATATATAGTACCGGTATATATATATAAATTTTAATATTTATATTGCAGTAACCTATACAATTAAAGATTAAATACCAACGATATCATTTATGAAAACCGCATATGAACCACATACATACTATTGTCAGAAACTGTATCATATTAAGCTCGTGTTAGATATAGAAGTCTGTTCTAATCTTTCGGGCATGCTCGCTTGTATTCTTTTGGTACCTCCGTTACAACTATTTTCCGTTATGATCTCTTATATTTCCTTTAGTTAATTATCTATTTATTTTATATTTATCTATTTTTTATATCAAAGATTAATATAAAGTGGTTAATTATTTGAGATAAAAAAAAAATTAAAGGTACTTTAGAGGAAACTAATATTAATCATTTAAGCCCTGTTAGAGAACATTAATGAGAATAAAACCTACATTATATCAAAAACTGCTTAATTTTACACTGAAATAATGAATGTAATCAAAATTGTTAGTCTTTTTTAGAAAATCGTAAAAATGTGTTAAATCGATGATATAAAGTGCCATTTCCGGTTAGCCGATTTTGCCAAAAAAGTTGCTGTAAAATCCCTGGCACATAAAAACCTTACACACAGAATTTCAGTTTTGTACAACTTTTTGTTTTTGAGCTAGAATGTTAACACATACTTTCCTTTACTATGTATTTAATATTTAGGTAAGTGAAAGTAACTACAATCTTTTTTATTTCTACCGATTGTAAACTTATTAAAAATTCAATTTGTGCATTTATCAATTTAAAAGAGGATTAAGTCATTTCTTTGTAAAATTTAAAAATGGTAGAGCCGCCTAGTTACATTTTTACATCATTATTATAAGAAGTGATTAAACACCCAAAAGGCAGTTCTGGAAATGAATTAAAATAAGGGAAAAGACTTGGTTTCTTGATGAGCAGGACAGTTTAAAAAACTTAGAAAGGTTGGTATTAGCTTTGAAGGTAACGATTGTTGGATCAGAAATGGATTCAAATAATAGAGTGGTAATCTGAGAAATAAAATAATATTATCATTATTAAAAACATTTGTTACAAAGAGATGTTGAAACAATCAGATCCAGTTGACAATTTTACCAACAGAAAATTGCACAGAACAATTCTTTCAAGTAATATGGAAAAGATACATAAATTTTAAAACCATGACTTCAGAGAAGTCCTCAACCCTTCCTTAGAACAGCTACAAAACAGAGGCTTCCAAAGGTTTTGCTTGTTTATTCAATGATAATGCTTTGTTTAAAAGCATTAAAGGATGTGCCAAGTACTCTTGCCTCTAAATTCAAACAAAACCACCACCTCAACCACTCTGTGACTTAACAATATATACTGTAACCACATTACCTAAATATCCACATAGGGTGACAAGAACGGATGAAAAAATGATAACAAATCTTTCAGTCTCTAACATAACTATTCAACTGACCAACTTCATAAATTACTTCAAAAACCATATTTAATTGCTAATACGTTACTAACAATCACTGAGACAGTAAGAGGACAATGATACAATGAGAGGACTCAAAGTGGTTCTTTGGAATGCCAATGGTTTACTATCCCGTAAAAATGAACTAGAAAATTTTCTTACTGACAATGATATATATGTTTTACTAACTGAAACTCACTTAACAGAAAGTATACAGTTTAACAGACCCAGAGAGGGTACACTCCATCAGTCATTACTTTAATTCTTTCAAAGCGATTGATAGTATCCAATGCACTTAAATCGTAATTAAGATGTTTCATTTTGAAATGACTATTTCAGCTCTTTATTGTCCCTCTGGTAAAAAATTATGAATCCCAATATTAGATCTTTTTGGGCATAGAGTCTGGTATTGTGGAGACGATAATGCCAAAAATCAGATATGAGGCAGCAGAAAAACGAACTTTAGAGGAAGAACTCTTTACAATGCAGTTATGGGTCGGAATTATAAATTCTTACCTCCTGATTCACCAACATATAGGCTCACAGAAGCTATCGGGATCCTAGGCATGTTGAAATTCTTCATTACTAAGGGACCGAACTTACAGTAACGTGAATATTCATTTCCTTTCGATAAACTGTACACACCTGACCTATTTAGTTATTGAGAAAACAAGCAACTGATTTGATCCAGCATTTTGAAGCTTGAAGTCACTTTTTACTCCAATAATTGATAGACTTCAATTTGTTTTCTTCATCAGTATCTGTCATAGTTTTCCTGAGAAATACTAGACTGATAGAAATTATGCTTTATTTTTAGTGAATCCTAGATATTCTTTTCTCTTTCTAGTTCCATAATATTTTCTCATTGAGAGTTCAAAACAATTATGGTCTGGCTTATCACCAACACAACTCTTTTCCACACATTTACTCACACCAACCAGATAAACAGAAAAACTTTATTTATAAAATTGCCAATATTTGTAACAAATTTGGAGAAAAAATTATTAACAATTTTTTTGTTCAGGAATAAAATTTTGGCTTAGGATCTTGAAGATAAGACATCTTCAAAGAAGGACACCTTTTGTAAACCAATTTGTTTGCAAAGGGAGGGTTTACTGCAAAAAGTCATTGAGTAACATTTCATAACCTTGATTAACAAAGAACTTTGATGAATTTTGTCTCTCTAAAATCAGGTACGTTTAGTGCAACTATTGTTGATAAGTATAAGGACTTGAGTCATTCTGATGCAGTTACCATGTTTTTGTGTTGATAAATACATACATACACTGACAGGCAAAAGATTCCACCCACTTGATTTTTTTATGTTTTCATCTAAAAATATTTCTGCTTTGGATTGGTCTATTGTTTGTAATGAATAAATAGGTAATCTTTTTGTTTGTTTTCAATTAGTAATGTTAATATAGAAGACAATAACCCTTAATCCTAATTCAGAAATGATTCTAGATTCCAATGTTTACTTTCTATGGAATCAAAATGTTTATTCAGTATCATTAGTTCAGTGCCGTTTCTTGCAGCACAGTTCTTAGTCTCCGCACTAGCACAGTCCGGCTTTTAATTTTTTCAATATTAAGTCCACCAGTCGGAAAATGTCCCTTTGCTGGAGGATAGCCCATTCCTCCTGAAGAGCCCTTTCAAGGTCCTGCAGTGTATCAGGAAGTGTTGCACGGGCTCTTATTCGTCTTCCGAGGTTATCCCATAAATGCTCAATGGGGTTCAAATCTTGAGAACGTGCAGGCCAGGCTAAAACCTCAGTATTGTTCTGTTGAAGGAATGTCTGCACTATGCGGGCGACATGTGGGCGTGCATTATCGTGCATTAGAATAGAACGATCGCCGATTTCGTTGAGGATAGGCAACACATGAGGTTCCAAAATCTCATCTACATAGCGAATGGCCGTTAAAGACCCTCCAAGAACAACAACCAATTCTGTGCGGCGCTCCATTGAAATCCCAGCCAACACCATTAAGGAACCATGTTGGAAAGGTTGGCTCTGGGAAAAATTACAGGCTGCATATCTTTCGTTTCTTCTTCTCCACACCCGTCTGGAGATCGAAGAGCGAATCTTGACTCATCTGTAAAAAGTACAGCACTCCATTCGTCCATAGTCCAATGGCTGTGTTCTTGAGCAAAAGCCAGCCGTGTTACTCTGTGAGTTCTGGTCAACTCTGGTCCTCTTACTGGACGAAAAGCCATTAATCCATACTCATTTAATCTTCTCCGAGCGGTACGTTCAGAAATTTGCACACCTCGAACTTCTTCGAGCTGATGAATCGCTTGAACAACAGTAAGGTGCCGGTTTCATAAAATTTTCAAAGTCAAAAACCGGTCATCCCATGGTTCTGTTACCCTAGGTCGTCCAGAACCGGGCCTTCTATTGTAAGAACCAGTTTCCCGAAAACGCCTGACGGTGTCTCGTAAAGTTTCATATGGAACTCCGATGGCATTAGCTGCATATCTAATGGAACGTCCATCATCAATAAGTGCCACACCAGGCGCAACATCCTCAGCACTAAGAGGCATTTTTAAACTTAATATTGAAAAAATTAAAAGCCAGAGACTAAGAAGTGTTCTGCAAGAAACGGCACTGAACTAATGATACTGAATAAACATTTTGATTCCATAGAAAGTAAACATTGGAATCTAGAATCATTTCATTGAATTAAGGATTAAGGGTTATTGTCCTCTATATTAACATTCCTAATTGAAAACAAACAAAAAGATTACCTATTTATTCATTAAAAACAATAGACCAATCCAAAGCAGAAATATTTATAGATGAAAACATGAAAAAATCAAGTGGGTGGAATTTTTTGCCTGTCAGTGTATATAATCGATAAATTTATTCAATGTTTTGTCAATTAATGATTTTTCATGTGTTAGTTATTATTTCTTGTATTATTTTATCTTTTCTTCAGGTTTTCTTTTTCATTACAATTATATTTAAATTTGAGATTTTATTTTTAGTTGTTCATTGATTGTTATTGAAGTTACTGCATATATTGTTAACATTTTTCTTAATGTATTTTTTATATCTATTTTGTTTATTTGTACATAATTGTTATTCTTAAAGGATCTTGTCCTAAAATAAGGTTTATTTTCTACATATCTATCTAAATAAGGCTGAAATTCATAAAAACTAACAAAAACAAATTAGATCCATCAAAAATGTACTTAGTGACTTTTTGCAATAAGCTGATGATATGATTAATCAGTTCCCTGCCTAATTATACAAACCCAAGTCAACTAACTTATTTGGGATAATGGTTTTGCTACCAATTCTGAGGCACTCTGAAACAATTTGAGCGGTCAAATCTATATAGGTCATTCACTGGAATCAAAAACATAAAAATCTAGGTAAAGAAACCAAAGCTTTTACATTAGTGGTGAGTTAATCTGTCACAACCAATAAGCACTGTAGTAATAATAATCTCATTCACATTCTACACACAGAAACAAAATTTTGATCACGTATTGTTGGATCTCATTATTTATCTAAATGAAATCCATGGAAATTCGATTCGCTATTATATTCAATTTTAAGGAAAGAACAAACTGCAACAATATAAAATTGTAAAACTAAACCAAGATATTTACTTACAACAAATTTTCCAATATCAGGTTTTGACCATTTATAAATGAACTCAATGTCAGGTGGTTCTTTCATATATTCTGTTACAACTTCTAGATCTGGAAAACTTCCATCTTGAATACACTTCTCTCTTATTTTCATTTCCAAAGTGAAATCACTATGATAAAAATAATAATAATTGTATTTACTACAGTACATTATACAGTATAGTACTATAGCTTATTTACTTATAGAAATGCTATATAAAAGTTAAGCTCAGACTCCATGCACTTCATGGATGATAATAAAAAAATATACAGTAAGAGTACCATGTAAGCACCATTTAATGAACATGAAATAATTCTGACCATAGAAATATATGTTCTTTTGTTTTGTTTTTTTATAAAAACACATGATTTATTATGAACTTTGCACTCACTTCATGAAGTTAAAATTAATTCAGGTACAGAAATATAGAGTTATACAAACTACAAACAAAGTAATCATAAATATGTAGTATACTCGTGATAATTACCTTCCAATAAATTTGTTTTCTTCGAAGTACTTAAAGAAAGAATCATTTCTCCATTCCACAAATCTAAAAATAGAAAAAAAATTTTACTTAATTGACTCTTCTGAAAGCTAATTTATAAAAAGTGTCGAAAATAATAAATATGCGATTTGAAAAAGTAACATAACATTCACTAAATTAAAAAAATTAAAGCTAATGGTGAGGTGGGGTCTGTCGGACCTCAATGGCATTTTCTACACTGAAATGGCAGCAGATTTTTAAAACTTATAATCATTAGGTTAGAAACATTATTTTCTTACAAAGTACTGAATCCAAGATTTGTAGCGGTACATTTTTTTCATATCAACATTGTGTATGTGAAATTTTAGCCAGGACAGATTAGGTCAAGGTCATGGGAGAAAAGTTTGGAAGACTGAAAAGACAAGAAACTCAAGGACCATATTACTTTGCATTAAGGATGGTCTTTATTACTAAAAACAATTTAATGTAAAGGGAAAATAATCAGCAATACTATTACTTCATTATCAGAAGAAATATTTATCCATAACCATATATTGAAAATAAAATTTACTATATAATTAAAAAATACATTTCTAGTAAAAAAACAAACATTCTATTTCACAAAACAAGTAAGAGTATAGATGGGTTTTAGGAAAACAACAATAAGTTTCTTGAATGTCCTTGTTCATCTGAAACTTGTGAATGTTATGTTTGTAAGAGTTGTTACTGCTCAAATGGTTTCTGAGTGCCTCAGAGTTGGTAGCAAAACCATTATCCTAAATAAGTTAGTTGACTTGGGTTTGTATAATTAGGCAGGGACTGATTAATCATATCACCATTTTATTGTAAAAAAAATCACTAAGTACATTTTTGATGGAGCTAATTTGTTTTTGTCAGTTTTTATGAATTTCAGCCTTATTTAGATAGATATATAGAAAATAAATCTTATTTTATGACAAGGTCCTTTAAGAATAAGAATTATATATAAATAAACAAAATAGATATCTGACCAAAAAATATGTTAACAATATATGCCGTAACTTCAATAAACAACTAAAAATAAAATCTCAAATTTAAATATAATTGTAATGAAAAAGAAAAACTTGTAGAAAAGAAAAAAATAAGTAAACTAACACATAAAAAATCATTAATTGACAAAACATTGAATAAATTTTATTATTTAAAGAAAGTAATATAATTATTGTATACCTTCATTTGTATTGATAATGACAGGAGCAAAGATTGTATAATTCCACCAATATTTATTCTTTTAAATAAACACAATTTAAATCATAAATTTAGAATGCTACCAAAGGATGGTTTCTCTAAAATCATATCAATATGCCATAGTTCACATTTACTTGTATTTTTTGTTTATATATATAATTGTAAATTTAAATAAATAAATAATAAAAATAAAAAATTTTAAACAGGCCTTCCCTTTTTCGGTACTTTTGGATTTATCATAGTAGTTTAAATACACCATCTGTCTCAATATGATACTCCATACATAAAAAACATTTTGATTTCTTCTTAGTTTAGAAGTTTTAATCTTTAAAAGATTTATTTATTAAATTAAACTTCCTTTAAAATTTCTTTTAGTATCTTAACGTTTCTGGAAATGTTTTTTCTATCACCAGAACATTATTTTTTCCCATGAATTTCAAAACTTTATTTAATTTTACAACAAAATAATTCAAATTATTTATATACTTTTTAGCATCTTAATTGAAATTATTAAGTTGCTTAATATTTAATCTACTTACATTATTTTTGATAGTGGATAATTGTTGACTGTTTAAGATATATTGAAGAGAATTTGGTTAGGTTTTTCATTTATAAGTCCCAGATTGGTTACCGTTACTTTATAATTCCACAATTTATAAATCATATATTTGCCCATTCCGCATATTTATTAATGTTAACTACCAAAATTTTATTTATTATACTACGAGGGAGGTCTGAAAAGTTTCCGACCACAACGTGAAGATGGCAGCACTCGTAAATAAAAACAAGTAAATTTTGTTGTTCATCTGTTGACCCACCAAAGTTTTTATGTAACAGTCTTTTAAGTGAGTTGATGTGAGTGTTTATGCGAAAATGGACAAAATCGAGTATCGAGCTGTCATTAAATATTTGTTTTTGAAAGGCAATACACCTACGCAAATCAAAGATGAGTTGGATTCTATGTGTGGGGACTCTGCACCTCATTTATCACAGTGAAATTTAGGGTAGCTAAATTTAAACGTGGCCATAAGAACTTTCCCAAAGATGATGAACGTTTGGGACATCCAAAAACTGCAACTGCCGACGAAAATATCATCAAAGCTCACCAAATGATGCTAGATGACCGCTGAATTAAAGTGAGAGAGATAGCAGAGGTTATAAACATGTCAAAAGAACGTGTTTGTTACATATTAAATCAACATTTAGGTATGAGAAAGCTGTCCGCACGTTGGGTGCCATGTTTGCTCACGTTAGACCAAAAATGTGTTCGAATCACCATTTCCAACGCTCAGTTTAGGCACAATAAATATGAGTTTTGCTGTTGAATAATTACTGTAGATATAACTTGGATACACCATTATACGCCCGAAACAAAAATACAGTCCAAACAGTGGACTACAGAGGGAGAACTGGCTCCAAAAAAAGCATGAACTGTTTTCTCTACTGGGAAAGTGATGGAGACTGTTTTTTGGGACAGTCATGGAGTTATTTTAATCAACTATCTTCAAAAAGGAAAAACCATTACAGAAGCATACTACTCATCATTACTTGACAAGCTGAAGACAGAACTTGCGGAAAAATGGCCCCATTTGCAGAAAAAGAAAATCCTGTTCCACCAAGACAACACACTATCTCACACCTCAGGGCGGTTGTCATAGCGAAAATCCACGAATTATGGTTTGAACTGCTTGACCATCCGCCTTACTCACCAGATCTAACACCAAGCGACTTCTTTTTGTTCCCTTGTCTAAAAATTGGGCTCGGAGGACAGAGATTTTCATCAGATGAAGAGGCAATCACCTTTGTGAACAATTATTTTGCAGAGAAAAACGACGAGTACTTTTTGGACGGGTTACAGAGATGGGAGCATCGCGGGGAGAAGTGTGTAGAGTTACAAGGAGACTATGTTGAAAAATAACAAAACAATTCAGAAAAATGTCTTATATTTTTGTTAGGTCCAAAACTTTTCAGACCATCCTCGTATTAGCAACATACTATTATTATTATTATTACTACTGTCTACTATTTTCTCAATATATATGTATATGTTATCTTGTCTTTGCTTAGCTCTGATGAAAGCTTGGAATTTAGGCCGAAATGTCAGCACAAAGAAAATCATTTTATTTTGATATTGTGTTAAATAGAATTACCTTTGTATAATTTTGTCATCTGGAACAGTAAGTAGAAATTTAATAGCTGCTTGTTTCCCCAAATTTTGAATGCCATTATTATAATCAGAGCCAACTAAAAGAGAATATCCAACTAATTTAGTTCTTGTTAGTCCTAATTTTGTCTCAATTACTTCCATCGAATAGCTGTCACATGAATAATGAGGGGACATTTGGAAATTTCTAAAAACTTCACGAGCTCCATACAGAAAAACATCACTATCTTGCGTTATTATGCCATCAACAATCTGAAAAACAATAGCAAACCATTGAGATATTAAAAAAACTACAACCAACATATAATGTTTAAAACGTTACTTAAATGTATCAAACAAAATTAAATACTACAATGTGTTTTCCAAAATACAAAATATTCTGTTAAAGGAAAGCGAATTAAAACAGGAAAAATTATAAACACAGTCACACATAGATTAGAAATCATATAAAAAGTAGAAATCACGATTAAATATAAATGGTGGCCAAACTGAATAAAGGGTTCACACATGGGTTCCAATTTGCAGCTGTACATTACTTATGATGATTATTTCTTAGTAGAAAATATTATACGTTTTTATCACCCTCCAAATAAAATACTAATTATTTTATAATGATGTAGAGATGGTTGACCGTGACATAATATGAGAAGGAATAGGTCGGTGGGTGTGATCAAATAAATACTAAATTATTATGTTATTTATTCTTATTTTAGCTTTACTAGATCATTATTTATTCAATTTTCAATTTCGTTATTCATCAACACTCATTTTCTTTATCTGTTAACCTACAGTTATCAAATGTAATCTTTACCAGTTTGTTATACACACATTTCTTATCTTTTATCACAATCTGTTTACTCTTAACTTACATGCTATATTCTCCTTTGTTTTCTATTTTTATTCATACTTATTTTCTATTTTTGTTTGTATATTCTATATATATATATAATACTTAATATTTTAAATACACTGAACATTGTGGCTTCGATTCTCACTTGGGTCGGTTACTTTTCATTTCTCAGCGGTCCCGGGAAATGAATTGTGACATTCCTACTCTGGTTAAGTACGCGGTGACAACCTTAAGGTAGCTGTCAGGGGTTGGCAAAAAGGACCACATAGGCCCACTTGCCGGTCTAGTTCTCCCCACCAGTACTAGTACCATCATCGTCATATTGTAAATATATATTTTTTTATTTAAGAGTGTTTTCTTCATAAATTTAAGTTTCCCTCAGCCAAACTCTTCCCTCAGTCAGTTCTTCCACTTCTTCCTGTCCATTGCTTCCTCTTCTGTCAGCTCTCGGCCCGCCATACTCTCAGCCACATCTCTCCCCCTTTCATGAAATGTTCCTCTCCTTCTAACCTAGACCTCCCACTAAGATGCCATTTTGGGAAGTCATTTTCTAATCATCCTTTTCATACTCCTATACCACTGTAATCTCCTTTCTTCCATCATTTCTAGTATATTATTCTTAACTGCCGTCCTTTCTCTAATGGTCTTGTTTCTGATTCTTTGCGTCCTTGAGACTATATTATTTTATATATATATTATATACTACAACAATTGTTACCATTTATTTACTTCAGTTTAAGATCTTGTTACTCAATTTACTCTGTTTATATAGTTTGTTGTTCTTAATATTTCAATGTACTTACAGTTTATAATTTCAATAAGTTTATTCACCTTGTTTAGAATTTTATCTAAATATTATGTAACTTCCACAATTTTCTATATCCATTTGTATCTTGTCCGTTCTAGCCCTGAAGAAGGCCTGCAATGTTGGGTCGAAACGTTGCCTTGAAAGAAAATAGTTTTCCCCTATTTTAGTATATTTATGACCGACACCCCAGACCATCTTCCTCTAATATTACTCTATAGTTACCCCTTTCCTTTCTGTCTCCTGCCTTGCATATTGGGGTGATAAATCCTAGCTTCATCTTTGGGTAGAGGGTCTCCCTTTAGAATTGCATTAATAAGGTCTGTTAATAGCTTAGCAACTTCACTAACACCATATTTAATTAGTTGAGCGCTCACGCCTCCTGAGCTAGAAGCTTTCCCATTTTACAACTTCTTGATTTCTACACCCAGTTCCTCTTGTGTAATAGAAAGCAAAGTGCCAGTGAAGCGATCTCCTTCATTTCTTTCCCTAAATTTATCTCTTTTAATAGTATACTAAAGTAATCAGACCAATCCTTCATCTGTATTAAATTTAATTTAAGCTGTTGTTTTACTTCTTTTCCCAATCCTCTTAGTACCGACCACGCTTCAGCTGCTTGTCCTAATCCCAATCTACCATTTATGTTTGCACACGTCCAAAGAAATGGAAAATCAATATAGGATGTTGGAATGTACCAGGTCTGTCAACTTAGATACACATTCTTCCCCTGAGAAATCAGGAAGTTCAACGTGGACATAATAGTGTTATCAGAAATAAACAAAAAGGGAAAAGGGAGTGAAGAATTGGATGACTTCATCTATATGTAGTCAGGAGTTGAAAAGCACAAGTAAGCGAAATCGGAAATTTCAATCTTAGTCAAGAAAAGCCTTAAAAATAACATAAGAGGCTGGGAGATGATAAATGAGCAGTTGATAACAATGGATATAACTCTATATTTCCTTAAGTGGGTGGATGGATGGCTATAACTCTATATTTCCTTAAGTCGTCCCAGAAATTTGTCTTTGGTATAAGTATTTTGATCATTACTTGGTACGTAAACGCCTATGACAGCAACATCTCTTCTAGAGCAATCAGCTAGAGAGGTTGCTGTCATAGGCATTTACGCGCCAAGTAATGCTTATACCAAAGACAAATTCTGTGACGACTTAGAAACAATTTCCAGACCGAAGGAAATATTCAGGCTAAGTGACATGAATGCACGGGTTGGTAAAGATTACAGCAGTAAAGTGATTGGGAAATTTGGTGAATTAGTAAGAAAGGACAATGGAGAAAGAATAATAATCCAGATTTTTGAACAACAGAATTTAAAGGTAAACATCTTTCACAAATAGAGAACATAAAGACTCACAAATTCACGAGGCATAATGACAAAAGAAGACGTAAGTCAATGATACATTATGTAATTACAAAGTAAAATAGTTCCATCAAGATACAAGGATATACAGAGGTGCTGAATGTGGTTTGGACCATCACCTACTGAAATCCCTTTGTACTTTCCCGCGGATAAACCCATGTAAACAAATTAATAGAAATCAAGATGGGAATGCAGACAAACCGACGGTGGATCGGTATAAGGTGGAATTGCTACAGGAACAAAGCATTAGAATATTATACAAGCAGAGAATAGGAGAAGCAATTAGAGAATTTAGCAGGAATCGCTCAAATGATATCAACGATTTCCTGATGAGTTCTCTGAAAAGAACAGCATATGAGGTTCTCGGTGTAAGGTCCAGATATGCTAGACGAATGGAATGGTTGATGGTAGATAAATATGAAAGAATCCAAAGGAAAAAGCAAGTCTACCTCATGTGGCTAAGCATAAGAAATGATTAGGGCAGAGACAAGTGTAAAAAGGAAAATAAAGAACTGATTAAAGCCACAAGAAGAGTCAAAAATGAATGGTGGGGAAGGACGTGTGCAAAACATTGTAAATTTCATGAATTATTTATGATAAAATTTCAATTAAAACATAGTATAAAGAAAAATAGTTATTACCCCTAACCGATTGAGATGAGCGCAATATGCTTCAGCTTCTCCTGGCCCTTGTATACATTGAAGACCTAGAGATGAAAGAAGATCAACACACTGAAAAATATACATATTTATGATAAAAAATAAAGTGAAACAATGAAATACTTTGTATCAAAACTAATTAAATTTACTGACTTGTTTTTGTAAACTTGAAAGTCGAGAACGAGAAACTTTCTTTTCAGGAACTATGTTGATTTTTTGATTTTTATTTTTCAGTCTTTGTTGAATAGTATTTGATTTTATTGTAGGTGCTACCCCTTCTAAAACAAAAACAGGTTTTACCCCTAGCAGGAGTAAATACGATGAACGGAAAAACAGATTCCTAAAATGAAATAAAATACTGTAACTGCACATTTTAAAAATATAATAGTGTTATAGAGGAAAGTGAGACTTCATAAAATAAATCGCTCCCCGAGATATTGAACCTGAATGAATACAAAAATACAATAAGAGCATCAAAGTGACACTAATCCTTGTGCTTGTACAAAAATAGTCGCACTTAGTGTACAATATTCTGATTTCACAGAGAATGAAATCATCAGAGTTCTAACTAATAATAATGTTACTTAATGATAATTTGTATAAAAAATATGTTTAACAATAAGTTATTGAAAGATTTTTAAAAAATCTTCCGCACGATAACCGAATCGATCTGGGATCAGAGTACTAAAACATGGAGAAGAAAGAGCAATAACGAGCTGATTACAGAAAATGGTAAATCAATGTCTCATGATATGAAAGCCCGGAGGTTTAAGTTGGGCTGAGCATATAGCTCAGAGCAATCCATCTGGAAGGCTCTACATGACAATGAATGCCTCAACAGTAGTTGAAAGTCAAGACACCACGTGAAAGGGCCAAAAAGCATATGGATAGATTGAAATAACAAAGATGCAATAGAGGTGCATGCAGATAACTGGAAAGTAATAGCCCAAGATAGGTAGAGATTTAAGCTCGTTAAGGCGGCAAAAGATCTACAAGGTCTGTAATGCCAACAGAATAAACATATATATATATATATATATTTTATATATGTACATCATATTTTTATTTTCCATTTCACCCAAGTTGAATCAATGTTTCAAGTTAAAACTCTTCTTCATGGCACTTAAAACTGTTAGCAATTCATCATGAAATTGTAATTTTTTTATTGAATTTTTTTTTTAAATTTGAAGACTATCGCTACTGTCAGGCAAAAGATTGTAAGTAAAAATTGAGTTTTTTTACAGAAGAGCATAACAACCAATTACTACTTTATGATTTATTAGTATAATTCCATATTTTATTTCCCTTTGCTATTTTTCTACTTAGCGGATTAATTATAGTAGTAGCAGACTAGAAAATGTCAACTTTAGAGCAAAGAGAATGAATAAGTAAAATTATAATATACGTCCTTTAGCACTGACAGTAGCAATATATAAATTACTCTAATCACACCAATCTAAATGAACCAAACTGAAGGTTGTTGTTTTGATGATTTGAGGGTACCAGTTTACATAATTAAAGTTAAAGTTATAATCTAAATTTTATCATTAAACCACCAGCCTTCGATTCACTTGATCAAAATGATAATTTGATGATGAATTGCTAGCAGGATTAAATATTATTAAGCTGAAGTAAAACTCAAAAAACATTAATGCAACCAGTGTGATATGGAGCATGAATAATATATGTGTTGGTGGTTAACTGTACAAGAAGACCTATGGGAGTCTGTCAGGAAAACAAAAAATATGTAAAAGCTGCTATTTATTCAATACCGCAATTTCAACCACTTTATGGGTTTTCTTTAGGGTTTAAAAGAAAAATACAACGTTAAAGTATTTTAGAAGAAAACAAAATATAGAATAACTGATATAAATAAATATGAATTAACTACCTTAAGTACATATTAATTTGAGGTGTGTGAAGTGATTGAGAATCACATATCCAAGCACTAAGGTCAATTGCTATCACTTTGTTTTCCAGCTCCCAAAGGGATTTTTTTTCAGATATTGGAGAAATAATAGACCAAAGTTCTTTAACACCCATTATAATTAAATACAATACCGGTTTCTATCATAAAGTACATAAAGTTTAGTTAAATATTTCATGTACCAACAGGCTTTTAATTATCATATTCAACAAATTGAAATATTAATTTTTCTAGTAATGGTCGTAACGTAACCCAATGTAGATCATTATGACAACCCAATAACAAAACAGCTTGCTTGAAAATTTGAACTGATGGGGGGAACAACCTCAACAAGGAGGTAGATTATCCCATCTGATACAAATTACATCATGTAACTTACATGATATATGCGCTTATTGTCCATGTACTATTTGGTCTGTGCGAATAATTCACAATTCTCTCCCTTGGTTGATTCCAAAGGTTACTATCATAGAAAGCAAGAAGTTAGTAGAGATGCAAAAATTGAGGTATTTAAATCTGTGTTGGTCAGAAAGCTGAAGCCTTCTATAAACACGAAGTAGGATCAAATGAATAGAAATGAGATTCCTCTGAAGAATACCGAGTTGGTAAGACCAGGAGAGCCTGCGAGAGAAATATATAAAATCGGGAGGATTTGGGTGTCAAATCAATGTGCGACATCATGGAAGAACAGTAACTAGAATGATACGGACATGTCAGCAGAAAGGACGATACCTGAAAGGCCAAGTACTTGAAAGACTAGACCGGAAAAAAGACGCACTCGTGCCAGACTCTGTTGCATGTACTCAGATTGCATTGGAAAACTGGGGCAGGAAGATGGCATACCATCCCGGAGGAGAGGAGATGCTTTTGCCCTAAGTTTTGGATAGGATGAATCCATAGTATTTTCCAAGGAAAAGGACGATTTCTTGGTTCATGTATATTAATTAGCGAATTGAATTTGAATAAAAAGTACAATATTTTTTCTTAATAAAAAAAATACACAATGCAGTTAATTTTTGATCAATCAATATACACTGACAGGCAAAAAATTCCACCCACTTGATTTTTTCATGTTTTCATCTAAAAATATTTCTGCTTTGGATTGGTCTATTGTTTTTAATGAATAAATAGGTAAATTTTTGTTTGTTTTCAATTAGGAATGTTAATATAGAGGATAATAACCCTTAATCCTTAATTCAATGAAATGATTCTAGATTCCAATGTTTACTTTCTATGGAATCAAAATGTTTATTCAGTATCATTAGTTCAGTGCCGTTTCTTGCAGAACATTTCTTAGTTTTTTAAGAACAGTTCTTAGGCTTTTAATTTTTGGTTTATTATTTTTTCAATATTAAGTTTAAAAATGCCTCTTAGTGCTGAGGATGTTGCGCCTGGTGTGGCACTTATTGATGATGGACGTTCCATTAGATATGCAGCTAATGCCATCGGAATTCCATATGAAACTTTAGGAGACGCCGTCAGGCGTTTTCGGGAAACTGGTTCTTACAATAAAAGGCCCGGTTCTGGACGGCCTAGGGTAACAGAACCACGGGATGATCGGTTTTTTACTTTGAGAATTTTACGAAACCGGCACCTTACCGTTGTTCAAGCGATTCATCAGCTCGAAGAAGTTCGAGGTGTGCAAATTTCTTAACGTACCACTCGGAAAAGATTAAATGAGTATGGATTAATGGCTTTTCGTCCAGTAAGAGGACCAGAGTTGACTAGAACTCACAGAGTAACACGGCTGGCTTTTGCTCGAAAACACAGCCATTGGACTATGGACGAATGGAGTGCTGTACTTTTTACAGATGAGTCGAGATTCGCTCTTCGATCTTCAGACGGGCGTGAAAGGGTGTGGAGAAGAAGAAACGGAAGATATGCAGCCTGTAATTTTTCCCAGAGCCAACCTTTCCAACGTGGTTCCTTAATGGTGTGGGCTCGGATTTCAATGGTGCGCCGCACAGAATTGGTTGTTGTTCGTGGAGGGTCTTTGACGGCCATTCGCTATGTAGATGAGATTTTAGAACCTCATGTGTTGCCTATCCTCAACGAAATCGGCGATCGTTCTATTCTAATGCACGATAATGCACGCCCACATGTCGCCCGCATAGTGCAGACGTTCCTTCAATAGAACAATATTGAGGTTTTAGCCAGGCCAGCACGTTCTCCAGATTTGAATAAGACGAATTAGAGCGCGTGCAACACTTCATGATACACTGCAGGACCTTGAAAGGGCTCTTCGAGAGGAATGGCTATCCTTCAGCAAAGGGACATTTCCCGACATGTGGAAAGTATGCCGAGGCGTCTTCAAGAAGTAGTGAAGGCGAGAGCAGGAAACACGCGCTACTAAACGATGATGTAATTCATTTCTGTTAGAATAATAATGGTTCGTTTTTCAATTTTTTTTTCTCTAATCTTTTTTATCCAATCACATTTTGATTATTAAAGGTAAAAAAGATTATAAAATTCCATAAATACTAAGTATCATCTACAAATACCATGTATTATATACAAATACAACTTTTTTTACAAATGGCAGAAATATTTTTAGATGAAAACATGAAAAAATCAAGCGGGTGGAATTTTTTGCCTGTCAGTGTAGATAATAGCAATATTTTAGGTTGTCTACAATGGAGTGGTGGATCCAGGAATTTTTTCACGGAGTGGGCGCACCTCTGTATCAGGTGTTTCCACTACTACTACCCATCTCACCCCACTCCTAAGCTGATTTTAGCCGCTCAAAAGTTCGTTTTAAAGTAACATTTTTACTGCCAAAAAAGCCAAATTTATTCGATCTTTTGTTTTTTCTTGTTTACATCTATCACTACTAAACAGTGCACCGAAGAGAAAAACGTATTCTCTTAGAAATTAAAGATCGTTAAATTGTACGTCGAACGAGTACCTAAACCCAATAATTTGATTAAGTGATATGGTTGATAACCACAATTCCGCCCCCCGCGCTCTCCGGCTGGATCCGCTAGTGGTACAATTTGTAAAGTTAAGTTGAGTTACAAACAATAAAATATATTTATTTTTAAGCTTCTTAATTACTAATAACATTCAAAGTTGACTCGAATTCAGTGAAAACGTATGTAATTTGGATTGGCCCTTCTCCCAAATGCCCTACAGTTGAAAGGAGAAAACTGGAATATTTTGACTGCTGTGGTGAAAAGAATGTTCTTGTGTGGGATGTACAGAGGTGCCCAGAAGGGTGTTTTATGGCGCATTAAAATTTGACCATACCGGTACTGGTACTGGTACTGGGTGGAGGGAACTAGTCCGGCAAGTGGGCCTATAGTGGTCCTTTTTGCCAACCCCTGACTGCTACCTTTAAGGTTGCCGCCGCGTACTTGCCAGAGTGAGAATTTCACGATCTATTTCCCGAGGCCACCAAGAAATGAAAAGTAACCGACCCAGGTGGGAATCGTACCCACAACATTCAGAACCGGGCACTCTGGGACCCACGCCCCAACGTGCTCGGCCATCCCATCCTCAAAATTTGACCATAGTAACGATCGTAGCAAACCTTTCTTCAAATGGGAGTGCTGGCTATGCAATTGTCTAAATATTCTTAAAATCCCAAGATATACAAGCAAAATGATGCTAGAAAAATGTTTTCCACCCCAAACAATAGCGAGTGCTACATCGTCTACTTATGGGTGCTACTTTTTTGTGGTATTTGGAGCTTTACTAACATAAGCAATTGGGCACTTAAAACCGTCAGACATAGTACGGGACAATACAGCTTCTAGAACCGTGTCATATGGTGTCAGTATTGGAATTCAGCTCCTTCTAAAGGTAATCTATTCATCTGAATTACTGGCATCTTCAGTCCACTTAAATTTCTGTGAGGGAAGCATTTCTTTGAGCGGTGCAGTACTGGTGGATAAATTGAAAGTAAAAGCATGGTTTTTGTAGGTAACTTTGCCAAGAATGGTTCTCATTTCTTCATGGGTAGAAAACAAGGGTGCATTAGAACAGCTTCGATTTGCTTTGGCTGCGAGGTGGCCGAGCTGACTAACGCGTGTGCACAGCACCGTGCGTTGCCCGGCAACCTAAAAACTGATTTTTTGAGATAAACAAATAATTACGAGTTCAAATCTCGGTGCCCGGTGGGAGTTTTAACTCGGCATAATTTTCCCGCCCTCTCCCTCGACCCGGGAAAAAACCCCGTGAAGCCTAACATGCAAGGAAGAGGAGACTAAAAATTAAAAATAAAATAAAAGCTTCGATATGCTTTATCTATCAGCACCAGCGGATCCAGGATTTAATTTTGGGGGGACTTCAGTCCAAATGTTTATATATATATATATATATATATAGTGTCTATCAGTGCAATTCAGCTGCAACTATAGTGTGTCCGTATTTGGTCAACAAGAAATATAGATTCATGCATCCGAATCCACTTCAGATGTTAATTAAGCAATATCATCACAAAAATTGGCGTTGCTGTCGAGATTATCCAAAATCTCTTTGACATATCGTTGCCAAATAGCACGAATACTGGCGACAACGTATTTTGCGCGCGTTGATGTGATGAGCACATAAGTATCTAGTTGTATTCAGAGTAATCACTGGACAATGTTTTTCTCTTTGAGGGAAGTTCATGAAAGCATCTGTGATATACACTTTTGAATCTTGAACCTTAATCCTTCAAATGCAGTGCAACTCGTGATCATATTCTGAAGAGTCCCCGAAACACCACAAATGGATCATTGAGGATCTTTGTTGTGCCTAATGTAAGCTAATGTAACTTAGCTTGATAATCCTTAATCCATTTTAAGTTTAGTCGAGATTTCACGATAGGGATGTTTTTTTTCTCAGTGTATCCCGTTTCGGGTCGGTAATCCATTAATCAACTGTGTCTTCCCGGTTTATTTTCTTCCATTTATTCTGATTATCAATAATTGTAATTAGTAAATTCTTCAAAAGTCCTATTTAGCGTCAGCTCCTGGCAGATAGTTTGATTACATTTTGTAAGAGGAGGTCTAGAGTCACCTCATCCTCTGAGTCCTCGAACCTGGCCTAGGTGGTTTAAAATTTATTTCGTGATGGATCCACGGAAATGTTGTACCTTACAATAATCATCTACCCTCCCTGTATGCCAGAATAGGTGAGGTAAAAAGCATTATGATATTAATTTTAAAACATATTTCAGAAGGAATTGGTCGAGGATGCGGCCAAATTTCTCAAATTATAATCAAGGTCAACCGTTTCCACACCATGATACAAAATTTATGACTTTATTTCGTTCATATTTGATTTTGTCACACTGGATATTAAAATATTTACTATCAAGAACCCATAAGATGAGAATGTAATTATTATTGATAAATTGTGGTATGTTATGGACTTAATTTTTTTCTCTTAAAAATCAATATTTTTGAAACATCGATATATCGAGACATCGAGCTAACGATGTTCTTGTTTACTAAGTTTAGTTATTGATGGCCGTTTGCGGTTAGTGATGTTATTTATGCAGTTAATAAGCAAATAAGGAATTTTTGTTTAGGAATAAACAATGGCATTACTTCGTGTAAAAAGACGACGGGATGAGGATGCTATTGATGCTTTGTTATTAGCTTGCAAAAAGCATAAGACTGAAGATCCTTCATTTTCAACTGTTTTTAAATTTGCTGGAACTGTTGATGGAAAGGTAATCATTAAGCAAATATTCTTTCTGATGTAACCAATATCATTAGTTTTGTGGATTTATATTCCTGGATCGTTATTCTTTTTAAATCAACTGTCCAATAATTTACAATTGTTTGGATGGGTTCACATTGCTTCTTGATGTACAGTTCCATATTAATAAATGTTTTATAGTTTAAAGTAGTACCTATGGTTATATTAAATATGTAATTGTTATTATTTTTATTGTCAATAAACACTTTAAGAAAGATGTGCATATTGAGATGTATCTATCAAAGATAATAAAAAGACTTGAATTTTACGATTTATTCACAAATTATGAAAGAAGTGTATCTTATGTTGGAATAGTAATAAAACATATTGGTCAATGAAACATTACGAGTTCTAGTGAATGTTTTTATTCGGACAAGGGTGTCTCATTACTGATGAATAAGGAAGTTAATATACAACAAGGGAATTTTATACCTATGTGGTAACATTACTCTAAAGTTAAAATAATGTTATATGTTAAAGTACTACTGTATATATGTTACTCCACTTTCACGGATGACACAAGATTTCATGATCATACTATAAATGGAACAAGAAAGCTAGCCGAGTGTAACCGAAAGTGACCAAACTGTTTGGTGAGGCGCTGACCTCATATATAAAAAGGATCTGTTGTAGATTTATTCATCTCTTTTGAAGGAGCATAGCAAGCAGGACTCCAAAGTGCCATTTATTTAAAGCTAATTAAGGTCTAGATTTTAACTGAAAAGGACAATGAGGAGTTTATCTAAGTCATAAATCACAAAACATGTAAAGAGAGGTTGTACTGTAAATATGTTATCAAACCTTGGCTAAACTTGGAATCTCATTTATAGCATGATCACGGAATCTTAGTCCACTTGGTAAAGTGGGGTGTCATTTGTATAGCAGTACCAGAATTACTTTTATGGTGCCGAAAACTAAAATAAATGAGAGTGACAGGCTTGGGAATGGCTTGGACAATTTCTTAAACTGTGTATTGAGCTCACTGATGGCATCATTTAGCATTGTTTGGAGACAGGTTTGAACTTTAGGGACTTACTTAATGGAAGGTGAAAACAAAGAAGTGATTCTAATTTTGGAATAATATTTCCTCCTACGGTGTATTGTTTCATTTGATTGACAATTCCTTAAGTTTTCTTTCTTTCTATGCTACTCTCAATTTGAATATTGATTGTTTTGTACTATTTCGCAAGGCTAATTTTAAAACTGCGGCTCAGTAGATGGAATTCTAAAAATACGTGAGTGTCTCCACTTGGATTTGACCTATCCCATTTCATGGATTTGACCGTGAGGTCTCAACCTCTACTAAAAATGTAACTCTAAATGAAACATCTAATCTTAAAAATGATTTTTGAATACTAAGTACTTTAGTGGCCTTATTTTTGTTTTTAGAGTAATGAGAAAAAGTTGTTTTGGGTGAGCAAGAGCAGTGATGTGATTAATAGGATGTAAAATTCTCCTCCGTCTACTTTTAGAGACATTTGGGAATTTTTAGAATTTCATTTAGGGTGTGATCCAGTAACTTTCAGCTTAGCCACCATATTGGACTATTATTTGTGAAATAGTTCAGGGCTTTTACTTATTGAATCTTTTGTTACGTTGATTTGTTATAAATTGAAACTGCTATTAAATTTGATATAACACGTGAATGAAAATTTTTGTTTTTATAATTATAATACATATAATGAGTTTTATTAATTACTGTTTTAATTAAACTGTATGAAAGATATTTTATAAAGCAATTAAGGTATTGAAATTCTTATACAAAATGCCCCTGATTTTCAGAGTAACCTGCACTCATCTTTCCACTTTTTATTTGGTTTCTGATTCCTTAGACTAGTGATGCTGTAATTTCAAGTTTAATGCTGGTTTAAATAGGAGTAGAATCAAAAGAATCTTTAAGCTGAAATATACAAATAAAAGGAAATCAAAGAAATTCCTGTTTCTGTTGATAAATTAGAGGGACCGAAAAGTAATGTTGTTTCTGAGCATGCCACGATTTGATTGTCATTTGGCATTTTATTCTATACATTTATGTCGTGGCAAAGACATTCTAAGGTTATATTGGCTACTTTGGTTGCAAATAATTAAAGTAAATTTTTTGTTTGCAATTTTAGATCCAAATACGAGAAGAGGTACATTTCCAGCATTGCATGATTTTGGAGTTTCTCAACAATTGCTTCTATAAACATTTGCGATGTTGATCCAAATGCATTAGACGATCTTAAATGCCTTAGGCGGTTTTTAAAGTTAAAATCTAGTAAATTTGACCATTCCTTCTTATATCGATTAGGAAGGTCCACAACGTTAAACAATGATGTGTTATGGGCGAAAGTTGAAGAAAATCCATGTCAGACAATCGAAGGATTGTCAAACAGTCTTAACCAACCTTGCTCAACCATCCAAGAACATTTATAGCAGATTGGGAAACCACCTTATATGCAACTTATTGCTTGAAGAGCACAATACAGAAGCGTTTTTTGATCGCTTGATCACCAGAGATGAAAAATGGGTCCTATATGATAATCCAAAAGGCAAAAGAGGCAGTGCCTCTCTCCAAAAGAATTATCCACTCCAGGTAGTGAATAGAGAAATCGCTATTCTGCAATATGAAAATGCAAGATCGCACTGGGTAAGACGAACCTGGGAAAAAATTAATGAATTAGGGTAGGAGGTACGGCCTCATCCACCATACTCGCTTGTTGCACCTTTGGATTTCCATTAATTCTGATCGCTTCAACACTTTCCAAGTGGTGAAATATTTGCGAATTGGGATGATGTCCAAAATGCCATCTATATATTTTGCTCAAAAACCAATTGATTTTTATCAATCCTGCATTGAAAATTCGCACACTAGATGGCAAAAGGTTATTGATAATGATGGTGATTCCATCATTGATTTAAAATAAGTGAGTCCATCTGTGTGGCAGGTTGTTATTTATTTTGTTACATCTGCATGAATTGACCCTGAAGTCAACGGGACATCCTTGTGTGTCATAATCAGGCTCTTTGAAGTGAGTACTCTTTATTAAATATCTAATTAATGAAAATAACCTGGCGATTGAGCATGATCTTGCTCAAATATTCATCTTGCACAACTGTTGGTCAAGAAATACTATTTATTTTCTGAGTACTGAACCTACATGGATTCCAATGGTATAGTTTTCTTAATATTTATTTTAATATAGGTATGTAAACTGTTGTTTACCTAGCAATATTTCTTATTTTACTTGTTAATATTATGCTTTTTAAAGACTTGTTTATGAGCAATTATTAATGTTCTTATTCCAAAGTCCCCTGTTTGATACGCTCAGGGTGTTCTCATGTGTATCTGTCAAATTGCAGTTGAGTTTTCAAGTATTTCGTGGATGGAATACAACTCATTGTTAGTTCACAAAATTCTCTTTTATACTTTCTCATCAAATTTGGCATTTATTCATTAAATGTACTGCCTCAGCTTTATTTTGCTAATTATATTTTAAAATTTGATTATAATTTCAATGATAAATGAATTGATTGGCTGGAGAATACATACTATTGCTTGGAAAGGTGGCAACGAATTCTGTGACATTTACCATTTAAAGCTTTTGTGAAAGTGTTAAATTATTTATATATATATATATATATATATATATATATATATATATATATATATGTATTTCATGCATACACATATACACATTTATGTGTGAATTAATGAAAATACAAGATATTTAATTAATTTTTTTATCTTAGCCAAAATTGTCTCTTTGAAGAATGATTTGATACATTTATATGTTTGTTTATTTTTATTGTTGGTTATATTTGTTCAACTTTATTACAGATTATGTAACACGTATAAACAAAAATGTCTGGAAAAAAACTTGGAAAGGAAGCCTTTCACCGAATGAACTTTTTGTATCAGGCATCTAAACTTTGTCACCAAATGGATACTATTGATAGTCTTAAACTTTCCTTACACTATGGTTCACATATTAAAAGTGTGGGGCACAAAGCTCAATGCAAGATGGATCCTCAACTGAAGCGTACCTTATGTAAAGGTTGCAATGCCATCTTAATTCCTGGTGAAACTGTCATTGTGAGATTGTCGAAAAAACCTGACCCAGTCCTTTTCGCTGTATGTCTTCTGTGTGGAACATATAAGGTTTTCAAAACTAGAAATGACTACATGATTTGGGCTGAACGAATCCAATCTGTTCTTGACACTTCAAAAAAAAAAGGCATAAATGAAGATAAAAAGAACAAATTGATGAACGATATTGAAAAAAACAAATTAACAAATGAACATGAAAAAAATCAATCTACATCTCAACATGAAGAAAACCAATCAACAAGTGAACATGAAGATCTCAATAAAAAGGTCAAAAAGTTAAAGATTTAAGAAGGTACCAACAGTTTGTTTTGGTTTACTTCAAAATATACTGAAATGTTTTAGCTGTTCTTATTAGTATCACTCTCTACTCATATTTATCTCATTGAAATTTATTAGAGTGTTTAAAAATGTATTAACTGTCTATGAATTAAATGTATTTAGTATGACATTAATTATGGTAGTCATTTGAAGAGCAAAGTGAAAACCAGGTAAGTTCCTTCTTTTTTTTATAACTTGAGTTATTGGTATAAATGGGTCCAGAATTAAAAGGTCCATTTTTCCAGTGCGTTGTAAAAAAATAAATAAAAAGTAATTGCTTATTGAATTTAATATTTCAAAATCCAACTGCCTGGAAGAATATATTTTCATTCTGAATTCATCTATAACTGATTTTTTTTTTAAAAAGAAGCAACTTGCCTGTTTTCCCCCTTAATCTTCATAAACTAATGTTAAGATACATTCATATTTGTAATAAATATTTGAATGTTTTCAGTGTTTCACACTTTTAATGTACAACTAAAAAACTCTTTCATATATGTAATTTTTAAATTTTCTTTTCTTTTGGTTAAAAATATATTGTTAAGCAATGGAATAGTTAGAAT